CAGTCATGACAACTCTGAGAGGGGTGGATTATGTTGTAACACTTTCATTTAGGTGTAATTTAATGCTTGAAATTATGAATATTAGATTTGATTTACAGGTAATGTGAGCATCAGTGCTAGTGCTAGCAGGTCGCTCCGGCGAGGAGCTCAGCGTGGGACTCACAATAATAGATGTTTGGCCAGTTCTGCTCTCTAGTTGTGTCCTCTGTGTTCATGTTCGGATGTTGATCATGGAATTAGTTTGACGAAGAAGGCAAGCTGTGGTAGAGATCATCCAACAAGTCTATGCTACATTTTTATCAGTAATTAAAATTATATTTCTGTACTTGATTTCGCTGATTGAATGGAGGAAAATACTATGCGTTCAACATAACACTGCTTTTGTCAAAAATAAGTTAAAGTATGATGGTGGTGGGGCTGGCTGGGTAACAGAACTCGAGCTATGTAAGAAGATCCAGGCTCTGGGCTTCGCTGGTCCATCGTGGTGAAAGATCTGCGAGGTCGCTGTTGCAGAAGGGAGGTTAGCTGGATTTCGGTACTGTGTACTTCTACAGTAGTGACCCTGCGATTGGAGATCTATGAATCTGCCCCTCCAACCTCCTGGAGGCAGCTGAGCGAGGTGGATGCCCAGCTTCTTCTGTCTCCCAGCTGGGAACAGCTGCTAGAGGCAGACAGCCGGCTTCTCCCAATTCCCAGAGCAGTCGAGCCACACAGGCGCCCGGCTTTGCTTGTAGCTATATTGGCACCCATGCGAGGACACAGTCATCCTGGTTGCCTGTGGAGCTCTCTGAGGGAGACCACAGTAACACTGAAGCTTTTTGAGTTGATGTATACTTCCCTTCTGAGCTGTTCAATCGTGTTTATCTGGATAAAAGCGTTCTACAACCAGTTAGGTCTGGGTTTGCTCAGGTAGCTCATATCTACCCCTGTTGGCTCCAAACTCTGTGTAGCTCTGGGTTAGCTTGAAGCTACATTGGTTCAGAGTTTATGGGTGTTAATCATTTGTTTCCACCCTCAGCTCCACTTCTTTTTCCATCCTTGAATTGTCTGGGCGTGATGAGACATGTGACACGGCCAAGATGGAGGTGATCGGAACTGCCATTTGGCTTCAAAAATGCCCCACAGAAAGCTGTGGGTGGGGTTTGTCTATCTTTTTTATACAGTCATTGTGTGACCATCAGTGGTACCCCTAGTGCATCTATCCAGCATGTTTCTGTTGTTTCCCTGCCCCAACACACCTGGTTCAATGATTAAATCACCTCTTCGGTGTGTCTGTTAATCAACCATTGATTCACACCAGGTGTGTTGGAGCAGGGAAACAACTGAAACATGCTGGAAAGTGGCCTTCCAGGATGGAGACTGCTCTACAAAATACTCTATAAAACCAATCCTCAAAACGTCAGTGATTCCCTGTCACTTCCTCAGAGAGAATAAAATCAAATAAATGTTCTTTGCTGGCAGCTCGTTGGTTGTGCACCCAGCAGAAATATAAGTTATCTGGCTTTACGTTCAAGCCCTCTTTGAAGTTTTTCTACACTCCGTTCATTACACTGCAATGGAAATGCATTTGCCTCATTAAAGAATTCTTGTTTTGTTTTTGTTTTTTACTTTAACCCTCCAACTGTCCTAATGGGTGTGACCCTGCGAGGAAAGTTGACCATTGAGCAGGGTTGATGGTTTATCCCTTGAGGTCCACATGGCAGGGGTGAGGTGGTGCTCACTCCTCATCCCTGCCACATGGACATCAAATAAAGATAGCCCAAGTATAAGCAAAGAGATGTTTAAAAGATGCCGTTGTTCATTAGGAGGAAAAAACTGATCTAAACCAATCTGGCCCTATGTGAAAAAAGTTGAGTTACCATTAATTAACAGTAATTAACCAGATTAATGGGACACAGTTCCTCCACAGTGAGGACAGAAACTTATCATGAATGTATGACTGCAGTTGTTTCCAGCAAGAGTTTAAGTTTATTTTTGTTCACAGGGTTTGGTGGGATAGCTTAGTAATCTTTAACTTTCAAACTGTGTTTATGTATTATGTTTTCTCTGGCTGGAAACATTTATGTGTAACACAAGAATTAAAACAAAAGATATCCAATCTGCTAGATATATTGTAAAAAAAAAATTTTTTTTAAGGCAGAAATTGAGGTGTTTACAATAATAAACTAATTTATTTCAGTGAAAAGTCAAAACTTCTGTCAGGTTGATGACCAGAAACATTTGGGTGCATTTATTGTGCACAACAACACAGACTCACGTGATCCACAATAAAGTGCAGCTCACGTGAGTACTGAACAATTTCCTGCTATAAATAAATAATCATGTTCATGGTTTTTTTTTTCAGATCTCTTCAAATATATTTGGGATTTTTTTAAACTATCATATTAATACAAAAATACAATTATGAAGGGTTGACAAACTTCTGTCTCACTGACTCTTGGAGGGTAAACTGACCCCAGGTCTGTTAACAGACACTAAACATACAATTCAGTCAAATCACATGGAGTTTTGGAGATTTGTACATATTGTACAATTCTACTTTTTAAAGAATCAATTTAGTCAGCTGACAGCCGACTCTGGATCAATCCTTCCAAATGGGATCAGAGCCAATAAACTGATTAAAATCAAAGGCTGGGGCCGATGCCAAGTGGCAAAAAGCACTGAAATCTAGCAGCTGCTGCAGACAAACACAAATACAGTCATACGTTTGAAATGACTGTGACTGCAGCCCCATTTTTAAATGCTCTTTTTGATTTTGAGGATCTTTTGTATAATTTTATCCTCTTTAATCATACATTATATGCTAATTAAATCATATTTATTCACATAACTCTTCCCCAAAATGAGATGTGTGGTTTGCTTTAAACTGTTGCCAGGAGGAATCTGGACACCAGAGTGTGTTTTAGTGGCGTGTGAAAACAATGGCAGAGATTCTGTTGATCAATTCACTAAATGACACCCTTGTTTACAACTTTAATGTAACAATCATCAGCGTTCCTTAGAGTCAATCACCTGCAATGTAACTGTTACAAAGGGCAGTTAATAAACATGTCTTGTTATTTTGTACATTTCACTTTGATTTAGCTGCTCTAAAAACTGAAATCACACCTGTTGTAGATAACTCTTTGAATGATCTTTGTAAAAAAAAAAGATGAATTCTGTTTGATTGATAAGCTAACTGCTAGTCCAAGCCAGATTAAAACCAAAGAGGATTTCCACTTTTTTGTAGCAACTCAAATCTGAGTCATTTCATGGATATTCAAAGTGACATTGTTTCACACAGCTTCACAATGATGTTGAATATGCATTAAACAGTCATTTATGAATTATTTTAAAGGTTATTTGAGGGTGGTGATTCTAGCAGTACTTACTGCACAGTCTGAGGCATTTATACCAAGAATACTATAATATTCTGCTGGAATAACTGTAAAAATGGACATGAGACTGGATAAAAGTTTGAAAAAAAACTTTTCCATAAAACTAGCGTACAAGCATTAAACACAATGTGACTGCAGTTGAGGGGAAATGTTTAAAACTGTTATAGCAAATCTACAAATAAGCTAGGTTTTGAATGCAAACATGGTCACGGAACACTCCCCTCCCATCAAGTATGCCCACTTCCACCGGAACTGGAAACCCACTTTTCCAGAGGATACGAGATAGTGTTAAACAACAGTCGACGTTTTCTAGGTCCAAACGACTTTGTTCATGACTTCAAATGATTTTTTTCGTTTTGGGACTTTGGGAAGTGGTGGCATGCGGCTGTTTCTGCTTGAGCGAAGAACCTCTCACACCAGTGGTGTTCTGTTGACAAATACGTGAGTACGTAAAGAATTGCAAACCCAGGGTAGTGCACAGTGTGACAGTTTGGTGAGACCGACGACCAGATATTCTAATTGATTTTGGTCCAAAACATGTTATTGGTGGAGGTTTTTAGACAACTGATCTCCACAATATATTTTAGCTATACTAGAACGTTGTTAATGTTGTAAGCAAATGAATTTTCCAAATTTGCCATTGCAGCTTCAATAGAAAACAGAAAATTGATTGATGCTTTTGTTTTGAAAGTTTTTTTTAATTAAATTACCCATAACACACGTAAGTAGAAAGTTTGACACAAGAGATGTTTTCTTAGGTTAATTCCAGTGAGTGATTTGACCCATTAGTGTCCATCAATAACCTTCTGCAAACAGTCTCGGGTAAAATCAGCAGGTGGTCTAAACACAGCAACATGGATCTTATGTAATATGTTTGAGGCTATTTCCTCTCCTTCTCTGTAAACTGTTCACATCAGAGACTTTCCAGCTCACCTTTAGTCCTCATTTCTCTTGCTCACAGAGGCAGAATGTTATAATAAATCACCGTGATCTGACATTTTGGATGTTCTGCTGCAAGTCCATTAAACTATTATGTAGCATCTCATGGTAGTTATAGTGATACAGAGATTGGCATTAGATGTCCTGGATGGAGCATCACACAGTTCTATACAAAACCAGTCTGTCATGCTCCACTGTCACCATGGGACAGGACACATCTGGAGAGATGTCCACATGAAAGAATGGCGTCAAGGTCATTTGAGGGTATCCCTAAAATGAACTCATCTGCAAAGAACATGCTGTCCACTTTAAAGTCACAGACATCCTTCGTCACGCGCGTGATTCTCCGCGCGCGAGCTGTTGACTGTGATGAGCATGCGCGCGCCGGATAGGATTGATAATCTGCCGCACTCTCTCTCAGTAACTCGCGCATGACGTTTCCAGAGTTGATTTCTGATCTATTCTCAGACTGAGGATCACCAGTGCAATGCAATGTGACACGCGCTCCAAGAACCGGTGCACGTGCTCACATCTCAGAATATCAACAACCTCTTAATTCTACCAGAAACACACAACTTTGCTAGACTTTCTCTGACTGGGAGCTTCTGCCGGTCTTGTTGTCATCCAGAGGTTCCAGATGTTGGAGCCTGCAGCAGCTGATGAATGAGTGAAGCGGCACTTTACCTGGTAGCAGAGGATGCTCTGAGGATCGTGGCTCATGGCTTCTGCTCCAACTTGGTCTGCGTTCATGAAGATGAGACTGTCAGAGCAGAGGACGTCTGGATGGAACAATCACGAGTTCTCCGAGACAGCCTCTCCTCCCGTGGCAGACATGCCAACAGCTGACATCCCTTTCAGATGAAGGGAATGGTGAAACAGATTCTTTCCTCCTGTTTAATAATGATCTCCGAGCCGCGCCTCCAGCTCTCCCCCTCCTCACCCCTCCCTCCCTTCCGTCCTGGCTGTTAAAGCAGGATGCAGGGCATCACCGCAGCTGCAGCCAATCAGAGCGCAGAGGCTCACAACAGGCTGACGCACTGCTGCTAACCACTGAAGCCAATTAGTCTGCTTCACTTTTACACAATGTTCAGTTTAAAAGCTCCTGCCTCCCAGCAGTCAAATACAGTGATCAATAGTACACATAGCATCCAGAAACATATGGTACTTGTAAAGTCAGTCAGAATTCAACAGCAATATTTTGGGTTATTTAGTCCACTGTTAGAGAAACAAATGGGAGTTCATTTTTGAAAGTCATATTTTCACCCTGCCATTCAGATATTTATAAATGTCACAGTTCTCAACAAAATAATACTAAATACTAAATATTTTCCAAGCTAAATATTTTTTGGAGCTAAATATTCACATAAACTAAATATTTAGATAACAAACTACATATTTTGCAAAAAAAATTAAACAAATATCCATTTGCGCAAAATAACATTTTTAGGTAAAACTTAAATATTATTTTAACAAACAAAATATTTCTTGTTGAAGTAAGGAGGCTGGACAAAATTTTTAGATGCATCCACACCCAAGTGCACCAGCCTCCTTGCTTCATATTGATTGTCTGTCAGCTATAGTGCACCAACTTAAGACTGACTGATGCAAAGAGTACTTAAATATTTATTTTTCAAACTAAAATTTTTACTCCAAAGTAAAAATTTGCTGGGACCTATATTTATTCTCCAAACAAAACAATTAATTTGATGCTATAAATATTTAGCTTACAAACTAAAGATTTTGCTCTAATAGTTAGGTCAGACAAACAAACAAAATATAATTGCAAACTAAATTATTAGCTCCAAAATAAATATTTAGCTGGGACCTAAATATTTTATGGGAAAATAAATATTTAATATGGGGTAAATATTTTGCGCATAAACTAAATATTCATATCAGAGCTAAATATTTAGTTTGTAAATTCCATTAATTTTCAGCCGCTTATCCGGAGTCGGGTCGCAGCGGCAGCAGCCTGAGCTGAGAGGCCCAGACTTATGTAAATTAGTAAAATTTGTTAATTAGTAAATTTAATATTTATAGCTTCAAATTAAATTTTTATTTTCCAAAATAAAAATTTAACTACAAATGAAATATTTAGCTTGCTAACTAAATATTTAGTTGGGGATTTAAAGATATGAATGACATGGTAAAAATATGACTGAAAAACAAACTCTTTTTCTGATGGCAGACTAACTCAAAATACTGCAGTTAAAGTTACTGTTTGACTTCATAAATGACACCCAAGGATAAATACTCACACTCATCGCAAATAATTTATTTTCTTCATTTTTAATTACAAAGTAAACTCTGTTCTGTCTCTTTGGGGTAGTAAATTGACTCAGAGGTAAAATGAAAAAAAGTGAAGCACAGAAAACAAAAATTGAGCCAATGTGAACCTGAGTGAATAAGACTTCACAGGATGAGCAGCTGGGCCGATTGCTAATGAGGAAGAGGCATAAATGGGCCAATCAGCAACAAGGAGAATTTAAAAAATGTACCTTAATAAAACTAAACAGGAACGCAAGACAAAGAAAACCCGACTCAGAATAAGAAATAAGATGTGTATCTTTCTATTTCATAACCTGCTTCCTGTTACCACACAGCTTATATAGTGCATGGGGCAAAAAAGTTTTCAGTCAGCCAGTTGTGCAAGTTCTCCCACCTGAAAAGATGAGAGAGGCTTGTAATCTTCACCATACTTAAACCATAAGAAAAAGAAAAAAAATCCAGAAAAGGACATTGTCTGATTTTTAAAGAATTTATTTGCAAATTCTGGAGGAAAATACATTTTTGGTCAGTAATGAAAGTCCATCTCAGTACTTTGTTTAATACCCTTTGTTGGCAATGACAGAGGTCAACCATTTTCTGTGAGTCTTATCAAGGTTTTCACACACTGTTGCAGGTATTTTGGCCCATTCCTCCATGCAGATCTCTAGATCAGTGATGTTCAAATAAAAATTCAAAGATACTTTATTAATCCCAGAGGGAAATTAGAGTTTTGGGGCTGTTGGACTTTCAACTCCCTCCATTCTTTCTCCTCCAAATACGAGTAGAGTTTTTACCAAAATGTTCTGTTGTGGTTACATTTGACCATAGGACATTCTCCTATCTTCTGGATCATCCAAATGCTTTCTAGCAAACTTCAGACAGACCTGCACATGTACTGGCTTAAGTAGGGGGACACGTCTGGTACTGCCGTAGTGTGTTACTAATGGTAGCCTTTGTAACTTTGGTCGAAGCTCTCTGCAGGTCATTCTCTAAGTCCCCCATGGGATTCTGGGATTTTTGCTCATTGTACTCGTAATCATTTTGACCCCACAGTAAAGGAACATTATCAGTGGTCTTGTATGACTTCAACTGTTTTCCACCAAAAGTCATTTTCCCCCTCTCCTCTGACACAGAACTAGTCTGCATGAGATATGGCCTCAAGGTCTCATGCATTTGCTTCTAACCTGCTTCTTTCCAGCTCAACAGAAGAATGAAGAATGCACTCTCTCCTTTTAATTAATCAAAGAACTCTATTTTAATAAAGCTAATCAAACAAAGTGTTAGTCAATAAATAAGATGTGACCAATCTGTGAAATCAAAATATTAATTACTTTATTATAATCCTATAGAATATAATAAGTAATATGACTTTAAATGTTCCACTAGGACTGATCTCATGAGGCGTTAAAAGACATGACACATTGCTTTCACTGATCCAATCAGAATCTGCCAGTCTGACGGAGGCATGGTTTTGGTGGTGTTTGGTAAATCTGTCAACTTTTCATTCGACCATAAACCAAAACATCCGAAGTATAAAACTATGCCCACGTCATCTCTAACGCCACTTCAAAGCGTTCTAGAGAAGTTGTTGGAGTGGCCAATCCGTAACTCTCCTCTTCAGCCAAAAGAACCAACGACAAGCTGGAAAATCTGTTGCTGTTCCAACTGCTGCAACGGTTCCTTTCAGAATAAAAGCTGAACCATCAAGACCCAGGTTTGGGTCTCACTAGATGCCAACAAAATTGTCGTGACCCGGGAGTATCTCAAGACTGGTGGTCGGCTGCCGTGGCTGCTTCTACAGGCTCCGGCTCCACAAAGTCAAGCTGGACCCTTACACCTCCTGATCTAGACGGGGACTTCCGCTCAGGGTATGTAGACCGACAAATGGCGTCAAATGTGTTTGTGAATCTCCTAACCAAAGCTTAACGCGAAGACATCACCTTCAGTTCCCATCAGAACTAATCGCTTCTTCGGATTTGCTGGTTCTGAGCAACATTCCACATCACACCATCCTCCGTCTCATTCACCTTAGTTACACCATACATTTAGAGTTTAAAGTTAGTCTAGATTAATTTGTTTTTAATAAATCCTTAAACTTTTAAACTCGACTCTCTCTCTTCTGTAGTCTCTGAGTGAATACGAAGCGGTTATCTAATCCCTGCATTAAAAAGTTCCAATCTTCTGGTTTAAAATAACCTCACAGATCCATAAGGTGGATTTCATATTTGCTATAGAATCTTTTGTTTTATGGCTTATTAAATAACATGTAATTTAAATCCTTACAGAATACAAGTGTTGCATAATCCCTGCAATAAAAAGTTCCAATCTTCTGTTTAAAATAACCCAACGGTCCGTAAGATTGATTCCATATTTACTATGGAATCTTATGTCTCACGGGTCCTTAATCAGATGTAAATTAACATCTTTTACAACGAGGATACATTATTATTATTATTATTATTATTATTATTACACAAGACATTAAAAAGTAAAACATTGTTCAGGTCAAGGTGCATATTGTGAAAAAAAAATTGGAATAAATATGAAAAGAATATAGAACAAAATATAATAAAATAGCAACAATCTAGAAATCTGGCATCAGAGGCTAAACATAGGCCAAAAAAAAAAAAACCCCAGAAAAACACCAACAGTTATCTGAAACAGATAATGACAAATAGATGCAACTATCGGCAAAGTTCCAGGAGGAATACCTGCATCCTGGTGTTTCCATGGATGTTGCTACCATGTGGGCCGCCTACCTAAACATCTCCCCCCTTACCATGGCAACAGCATACTCTTTGTTCATGGCCTGGCTGGTCACAGCTCTTTAGGGGCGAAACCAGTTGATTTTTGAAAGAGAAGAGCTATAGAACACTATAGACTATGAAGAAAACACTACATTTTATTTCAATAAAGTATAATGTCACATCTAGAATTAAAAATGGTTCCTGAGCTCACCCGAACCCTTGAACCTACATGCTTCCACCATCAGAAGGATCGCAGCCAGCATGGATGTGTCGGATGTCCGAAATGACATTCCACACTGCTGTTTGTCATTTTTACTGAGCTCATAGTGTGAGTTTGCATCTACAAACATGTTCCTGGTTCTGTGATGGCTATGACACTTCTACACTTCCTTTGGTAGAAGTGGTCAGAGCTGAATGTCACTGAGCTTATGAAACCCACCAGAGCACGTAGAAAGCTTTGAGTGCCACCTTGTGGAGATCTATAATTTTGTGCCTTTCTATTTCTGTATGGGACAGTTGGAGACAAATGACCTGCAGCTCATAATTCACAGACTCAGGATCAGATTTTTCTTCATGAGATCACAGTGAAGCTTCACTAAACCAGGATCAAGGATGAATCTGATCATCTACTTTCTAGTCACAAGGCTGAATTGGACCTCTCATCAACATGAACAGAGTCCGGCTTCTTTTGAGTGTGTTGCTATGGCAACCATACACATCATGCTGGAGCATGAACGTCATTAAGGGAACCTTCTGTGACAGGATGAAGGAAGTCAGGTGGAGCAGACAGAGTTACAACGGGTCCCCGGTGAGATTTTAGTGATTGATTGAGAGAAAATCATGCAGGTGTATAAACTGTGTCTCATTAAATGTTTTTGTTTTTATCAGGAGAATCTATGAAAGAGACAACTGAATAGGATATTGCATGTTTACAACAAAACTGATGAGTCGAGCAGAAATGAGCAGATCTACAGTGGGACTATTGGAGCAGTTTTTTTTCTCTTCCTGTCTTTCAAATTCTGTTTCAAAAAGCAAGTCACCCCCAAATCAGCATTTTTTTGGTTGATAAACTTCATGTGTCTAATCATCTGTAGACACGTGTTGATAACAATTTAGCACTTTAGTACATTTTAGTTAAAATTTAAATTTTCTCCCTAAAACTGTCAGTGTTGTGCCATCTTCAGGTAAAAACTCTGCACTACGTTTGAATTCAAATCTGCCATCGCTATTGGCTAAGAGGTACCCTATAACGTTAGCTGGTACCATGTGATGTCACAACGTCGTTGTGAGCCTGTGTGTGTGTATTTTTTAGCGGCTCCGCCTTCACGGTCTGCTAGGTAACAGCGGCCTTGATCGAGTTGAGCAGCGCCTCGCCTGGAAACCAGACGAGAGCAGACGGAAGCAGCAGGGGGAGTGGCTGAAAGCCGGCATTTAAATCGGACAGATTTCCCTACATGTGTAGCTCACGGGTGACGACCGGATGAACACATCGCGTTAGCGTTCACACTTCTTTAATTTTCAGTTTTAATTCTGGTGCCTGTTAGCAACTGAAACACATCCTCACATGCTTGTATAGATTGTATATGAAGACATGACTGTAATAATAAGTAAAGGTTATCAGCTGTAGGCTTAGTGTGCTCATAGGAAACGTGACAAAAGAACACTAAACACATTTCTCTTCATGGCCTATATAGTTGTCATCATCAGCGTAGCATTATTCACAGAATACATGTGACCAACTAACATTTCATGTTCTACCACCGGATGTTCGGACCAAAATATGAACCAATCAGATCTTAGATCAGGTGAGAGCCAGGCGTTTCCCATCATCCCCTAGGTTTTGCAGACGAGGGAGAGCAACTGCAGCGCCTTGCTCCAAAATCTGCGGCCGCCTTGATCTCACATCAGAGCAAGTCGGCGTCAAGTCGGACACAAATCTAACCGGCATGCACTGCTCGCCGATCACCGCTGATCTAATCTGCACAGAACTGGCTCATCTCAAACACGGCCTGCATTTGTTGCATCTTTCAAGCAGGAAGTGGGAGTGGAGTAAGACTCTGGTAGGACTCTGGTAGGGGGTGACTTGCTCTTTAAACAGTCTTCAGGAGGACAGCCTGCATCAGGATGCTGAAGCACAAGAAGAGACAAAGTGCAAGATAAAAAATGTAACGCAGAGCAGAATGTTACACGTAAAAATTTATGCATAAATTGTTGTTTGAGCCAGGTTAAATGAATGAAAATGAAAATTCTCTCTAGAACTTCAGTATCACTGTAAATTTGCCCGTTGACCGCCGGTGAAACGGCTGATTTGCAGAAGGAACACAAATCATTGTTGGGATGTTGAAGTAATTTTGTGAAAGCTTATAAGGGAAATCTAATGGCACCCCACCCCCATTCTTTGTCTCCAGTTGCCACTGATTTCTGTATTTTAATACAAAATGTGTGAATGTGCATTATTGATTTACCTGAGATTTGTGTGTATTAGTCATAAGATGCAGCTATAGAGTGTGTGCGGAAAGCATTCAGACCCCATCAGTTTTTCACTCTTTGTTGAATTGCATCCATTTGCTAAAGTCTATTAAATTAATTGTTTTCTTCATTAATGTGCACACAGCACCCCTCATTGACAGAATAACAGAAGTTTAGAAATTTTTTCAGATTTATTAAAAAGAGACGAACTGAAATATCACATGGTCCTAAGCATCCAGACCCTTGGCTGTGACACTCATCAGGTGCTTTCTGATCATCCTTGAGATGGTCCTACACCTTCATTGGAGTCCAGCCGTGTTTGATTACTGATTGGACTTGATTAGGAAAGCCACACACCTGTTTATACAAGATCTTCCAGCTCAAGATCATGAGATCATAGGAACTGCCTGAAGAGCTCAGAGACAGAATTGTGGCGAGGCACAGATCTGGCCAAAGTTACAAAAACATCTTTGCTGCATTAAAGGTTCCTAAGAGCACAGTGGCCTCCATAATCCTTCAGTGGAAGATGTTTGAGATGACCAGAACCCTTCCTAGAGCAGGCCGTCTGGCCAAACTGAGCTACCGGGGGAGACGAGCCTTGGTGAGAGAGGTAAAAAAAGAAGCCAAAGATCACCGTGGCTGAGCTCCAAAGATGCAATCAGGAGATGGAGAAAGTTGTAGGAACTCAACCGTCACTGCAGCCCTCCACCAGTCAGAGCTTTATGGCAGAGTGGCCCATTGGAAGCCTCTCGTCAGTGCCAGACACATGAAAGCCTGCATGGAGTTTGCTAAAAGACACCTGAAGGACCCCGAGATGTTAGAAATAAGATTCTCTGGTCTGATGTGACCAAAACCTGATAGTGAACATAATTATAACATGTTTGTGAGGCATATTAACAACTTGAAGATTTTTTTAGATGCATTGACGACACATTAGCAGTTGTAATTAAATAAACATTCCAGCAGGTGGAGACAAAATTCAAGTCTGTTGGTGGCTTAATACTGTCCTTCAACCTTCTCAACTCTTAGAAAGGAATATCAACAAAGAGCAGAACGACATATCTTCTACTTTTTTTAATGAAATACAATACAGCACAAGTCAGATGCAAGTTGTTTCATTAATGATATATTTATTACGTTTGTTACATATTTAATCTAAGATGAAAATGTTGTAGGAAGTATTGCATAGCGTGCATAGGGAAAAAGGCTCTGAAGCACTCCACTAATCCACCAGGCCTGCAGAACCCAATGACAGATGAACGCTATAGACCACGAAGAAAACACTACATTTTATTTCAATAAAGTATAAGTTATGAATCAGCTCGTTTTAAATCCAGGACTGTAAAAAGAAAATCAATTGAAAAAGGTTTAATCTGAAAAGACGTTCTGTGAAAATCTAATGAGCAACCTCAGTTTAGGAAAACAGAGAATAGGTCTGACACACTTGCTTAGCAGAAAGCTAGGCACAGTGGGTCCAGTTCTAAAGTGGTTCACTAGCCTAGAAATCTAGACAGAGCAGAAGTAAAATGATTTATCTTGAGGACCTCAGCAGGCCTGACCAGTTTTGTGTCTTGCCAATAACAGCACTCTATTGGTTTGGTGGGCCAATCAGATCGCTCTTTCAGTTTGGTGGGCGGGATGTTACAGAGAGTGAGCGAAAAAGCAAAGATGGCAACGGGTCATTTGAAACAGCTTTGGCATCCACCTTGGACTATTTAGACTTGGGCTTTTCTTTGAGTCAATAGCAGATTCACATCCTTTATTTAGAAAAAGGATGTGTCTTCTTCAACAGTGTATGGAGAACTTCCCCATTGAATTACAGCCATAGCGGTGAATATGTCACGCTGTTTGTTGTCCAGTAGCCAGTGGAGGCAGTTTGAAAGACAACCATAGATTCCACCCCTTGACTGATCTGTTTATGAGCAGACTGCATCTTCACACATGCAGGCTGGCTTGCCGCATTTTATTAGAGCAAGAAATGGGAATATCTGACACTTTGTGACAGAGGGTTGTGTTTCTGCAAGAATAATCAAGTAGTGTGAAATTGACCACAGTTAAGGTTTAAAACAACGTTAAAAAAATAAACTTTGCACAAACTGTTGGATTCCAGTCATTTTAGGACTGAGACTAATTGAGAAATTGTGATTAATGTGGGCTATTTAGACTAATCTCTGTTTCTTCAAACTGAGGTCAATCAAAGTACTATTCTGTCTACGTTAAAAACACGCTCTGTCCCTGTGAGGAGAAGCCGTTTGAAATGAACTTCCAGGCTGAGCTTTGGCTTAACGATCAGCGTTGACTCGTCCACGTACGTCTTCACTTCTACTGGATGCTTCCTACAGAGGAGATGAAGTAAAAGTCACTGCAGAGCCCAACCGTTGGGTTCAACAGGTTTTAACACCAGAAGGTGCGGCACCAGGCAAGAATGTTTTAAATATAGAGTCGAGGCAAACATCCATGGGAAAAATACTTTATTACACTTATGATAAATCAACATTTATAGACAAAATATGTACACCAGACATCTCTCCTTAGGTCCCAAAATATAAAACCTTAAGTACCTCTCTCTATTGAAAACTAGTTTTCTGGTAAAACTTACATTCATGTCTCCCCTCTTCACCTCTTTGACTCCAGTTGTCATACATTATAGAAGAAAACATCTGCAGTTTATCAGCTTTTCACAAGTAGAAGGCAACAGCAAGAACAAACACCGGGTTTGACTTGAGCAGAAACACGTCGAGTAGGTCCAACACAGTGCTACAGAATGTACGGTTTCTGAGTACATCACATCGTCCACACTCTGAGCTCCCTCTCTCGCTGCCCGTGTGGACAGAGTGCATGAACAGGTATCAAAAATAGAAATGTACAAGAAGTCTATGGACAATAATTATACGGATCCATCTCAACTGGCTGTTTGTCAACAAAGAATACAAGACATGTCACTCGCTTTGGCCATGTGGTGGCCTATCCCTTCATCCACCGATGCTGCACCCCCACACCCGTCTGTACACACTCTGATAACATCCTGGACTTTTCCGGTGCCAGTCATCGTGAGGTCTGCTCGAAAGGGCGTTGTTCTAGTTATCAGAATGGTGAGCGAAGGACATAGCCAACAGATTTTGGGCAACTTGTTACGACTCATTTGGTGCAAAGGTTCTTCGAGAGTACAACATTATCACGACAGCTACAGGTGAGATGCAACATCATCGTCATCTGCGTTTACAATTCCACAGCAGCGTCAAAAACATTTCTGTCTTTACATTCAACCCGCGTGTGTGTTGTGCAGGGCAGTTTCGTTTTATGACACACGGGTGCAGGAGAAAACCACTGAGCGTTGAACATTGAACCAGAGCGTCACGTTCCACACCCAGGTGGATGGATGCTGCTCCGAACATTTCTACAAGTCCTCCAGTGTGCTCATGAGGAAAAGAGGAGGTGAATGATAATGGATTATGAACAGCTCGGCTATGTTCTCCATCTCGCGGCTGGCCTTGTCTCCGGCGGCTAGCAAAAGCGTCCCTTCAAATGCTCCTTCATTGTTCTTTGGTTTCCAGGTTGAGAGGTGGTACCTGCTTAAGTGCCTGGAGGAGCGCAGGGGAGTCCATGGGGGTCTGAGATGTGGCCGGGGTAGGTGAGCCTCCCCTGGGAGAGAGGACCAGCTGAGGTGGGGGTGGTCTCTCGCTGGACATGGTGGGTGAGGAGCCTCCCATGCCGGGGTAGAGCATAGGCACGGCTCCAGGATACCAGCATTTCTCCAGCATGGGCAGGTAAGCTGCAGCAGACGGTGGAATGAGGTAGAACGGCATGCAGAGTGGGTGTGGAGGAGGAGGAGGTGGGTGGTTGGGGGAAACGCTCATGTAGCTACCGTAACCGCTGGAGGACGAGGAAATGGATGACTCTCCTCCTGACAGCAGCTCATCCTCAGACGACTCCATGCGAGGCCGTTTGTGGCGCGGTTCCTCGTCCTCCTGCTTGATGTCGGAGCTCTGCGGTCGTTTCTGCTGGCTCTCCTGACCGTAATAATCTGGACGCCCCTGCAGCACCCCTGCTTCAGTTTTCTCCAGCTCCCCCCCATAGCCACTGTCTGTGTCTGTGTCGCTGCCACTCTGCTCGCCACTAGGTGGGGCGTACGCCCGCTGGATGACCGGAACACAGTTCCTCCCATAGCCTTCTATGGGTTTAGGGGTCAAGCTGGTGGACACCTCTTTGCGGGGCTGGTGCTGTTGGTAGGCCGGGACCTCCTCGGGTTGAGGGCTGAGCGGGGTGCGGGGTCGGGCTGGGCTCTGCAGCACATTTGCAGCCAATTTGTGAAGGTGGCTGATCAAATGAGATGGGGCGAAGTCTTCATTGGACCCGTGATTGGCGAGGTACTGAAGAACCTCCTTGGCACACATGTGAAAGCCAGAGCAGAATATCTCTTCTGACTTCTCCTGGCTAATGGGTGGCTGCTCTGTAAAAATACACACACACAAAAACCAATTACATTTTCACACAGACACGATCAGCAAACACTCAAAGCTGAAGGTTTGATTGCAGTTTGATGTACTTCTGAACTCATCTGACTAGTTGGCGTTAAGTTTCGCAGCTACTGTACATTCATGTCTGCCGCTCACCGATTTGCATGCCGCTCTGCAGAGCCAGGATCTTCTGCTGCTGCTGCTCCAGGAGAGAGGTGAGGGCCCTCACGTGTTTGAGCGTGAGCTCCAAAACCACAGCCTTCTCCAGATGGCCCAGAGTCTGAGGGAGACACGCACAGTCAGCACATCCTGACCACTTACTCAACACAAACTGAGCTGCAAGGCCTCATCTATTGCAATCAGCAGAAGCAACAAGACATGCAGCAGCAGCAATATGTGTGGCTATGTTAATGTTAAAAATATGGATTGTTTTGAAAAATCCAATAACAAATACGGCTTATTTGTTGCTTGCTGCTGACGCACAGATGCAACACCTCTAGTGCGCCACTAGATGGTGCTGAATTACCAACAACACTGAATACCATTCTGCCTCCCGGTATAAACTTACGGTGAGTTTCAGGTGTTCGGGTAATAAATCTTTCAGCTGTGCGATGCACTCGTTTATCCGATCGCGTCTCTTCTTCTCGATAAGTCTGTGCGGCAGCTTGTAGGTGTCCTGCAGGAATAAACAGACGCGTTGCGTAATTTCTCCATGATTAGAGGCAGTTCCACCCAAAGGGAGGAAGAATCCAGAAGTTATGTCATAACAGAAAAATGGGTCAACCATTTATGGGAACTGCTGTCACTCTAATTGTGGATTACAAGCCACAGGCTCTGCGACTTGAACACGTTTGCAGCAAATAATAGCAATAATAATATTATTATTAATAACACTTACTTTGCTCTCTTCTCCTCTCTTCATTCCCCGCCTGGGTTTATACACATACATCTGGAAATCCATCCTAAAAATAAATAAAAAAAATTAGAAAACTAAGAATACTGGAGACGTGTGTGTGTGTAGATGGTTTAAGAGTTTAGTAAAGTGTGTGTTTCCAGCTTACCCCTGCACGTCGGACAGATCAGCCTGGTGTTTGGATAGAGGAGGCGGCTGCGCGCTTGGGATTCGCTCCATTATTTATCCTCAAAATAAAAAAAATGTAAACACAAAAATCGCAAAAACTTCACCAGTTCACTCACAAAAATCCCGCATTTATTCAAGCGCAGCAAAAACGGTTTGTGAAAATAGGCTTCAGGATAATTTCGTTTTCTTTTACAAACGCGTCATCGTTAGCAGTATTCCTCTAAAGAATGCGTTTTCTGAATCATGCCATGAGATTCCCACGCTGTGGTCCCGCTACACAGAAGCCAAACGTCCCACAGGCGCGTTTTGGGGAAAGTGGGGGAGTTCGGAGCGACGAGTTAAATAAACCCTCTGACTCTCCTCGCTGCCTGACCTGCCTCTGTCACATGAGCCTCACGTGTTACACGGTGCTGCATCCCGGGTGAAAGGACCGCCCACTTTCCGCCGACCCAGCGTCTGATTAGTCAGTTTGCAGTTGACGTCAGAGCGTGGCAGCTGTGGTGGGCGGAGCGAGTGTGATCCCGTGTACCACCATGCTGAAGTGTATGGAAACAAGGCCTTGTGCTGTGTCTGCAGCGAGGCCGGGCAGGACTTCAGCGGAACGGCTCCAACTGGAAAATAACACAAACACATAGGTTACAGGGGCTAGATTAAGACACGCAGGTTTTAAAAACAGCAGCCTAACTAGTTTCCTCTCTAGGCCAACAGCAGCAACAGGTGTGTGGACCACGTGCACCTGAGCATGGACAGCTGCGTGGAGTCCGTGTCTGTTGTCATCATGAGGCGGTGGAGTCTGTCACGTTGATCTCCTCATGACCCCCTGAGCCTGCTGCTGAGCATCTCCTGCACACCCAGCTCATTCTGCACAGGGCGGCTGCACCTGTCCGCAAACACGGGTCACAACGATCCCACCTCCGTGTTTGTTTACTTCATGGATTAGTTCTTAGGCAGGTTGTTGCATGATGTAACAAGATTTATGTTCGTCATAAAAAAACATTTGTTTTTGGCAACAGGATAAATCAGTGTATTTCTTTTGGGATGTTTTTATCATCCTGCCCATTCCTGAAGTTGTGCGACAAGATCGAAGAGCTAACGGCTAGTACCAGACTACATGTAGAGCAGCTGTCTTAAAAATAAAAATGATCCATCTTTAAAAATTCACAACACTTTCCACTAATGCACTCAGGGGTGAAGTTTGCTAAAGTATAAATGATGCATGATTGACAAATGTTTATAAAAAAACTTTTTAATACAAATCACTGTTATTTACAGGATTAGAGCAGCTGTAAGCCATCAAGGTAAGATAGTAAGAACCTTTTAAACAAATGCGTTGAGATGGCTGAAATAAACATCAAACCCGAGTTTAAGATTTACAAAACGTTTAATAAATTATTTGCAAGAACTTTCTTTTCATCAGAATAAGAGGAAATATCTAAAATCCATCTTTATTACAAAAGAAAAGTAATTATCTAAAAGTAAATAACTTCCATGGCCATTTTCATAGCCCCACAGGAGTTTAAACTCAGGAGCATTAAGACATTTAATTATTCACGCAGAAACTGTTTGTAAACTAACAAAACAGGGCTTTTATTCGCATGCAAAAGCTCCCTAAATCAGTTCACATGAACACACTAGCGTTTGAACACTATCCTTGTTTTGGTAGAAGCACCAGAGTACTGAGCGTAAAATGGAAATGAAGCAGGCTGGAGGGCATCAATCAATCAATCAAACCTTATTTATATAGCACTTAATCATGCAAAAGATGCAAGTCAAAGTGCTTAAAAAATTTAAAAGGCTGCGCATACCCACATTCCCTCCCATCCAATTTTAAAAACAGTCTGACAATAAAAACCCCTTCACAACACTCATCCTCTGGCGCACCCCCCCCCCCCCCCCCCCCCCCCAATGGAAAAAAAACATGATGGACTGAGTTTAGATGAGCCAAACCAGCTAAGACAAGGAAACACCATCAGGGGAGCCATCCGCCCCGACAGCAGCAGATCCACAGCAGCAGCCGAGGCACCGACACAGGGCGCTCAGGGCAGGGAGGGCGGAGACCCCCACCTCCACCCAGGCACACCTGGAAAGCACCCAGGCCGCCACAGCCGACCACCGCCCCCGGGGCAGAGGGCACCCACAGAGGAAACACTAGAAAAAGGTTAAATTAAGGGTAAAATATAAAATCATACAAGCTAAAATGAGAATTTAATTAATTTGTTAATTACAAAAATCACACTTAAACTGGACAGGTCCCAGTAGTTCAGATGGGATTAAACGATGAAAGGCACTGGAGCACAAACATATGAGTCTAACACTGAAAAGGACTGTTGAAACACATTAGGTAAAGCAGAGGTAGTTTAAAAGATTCATACATTAATAGACTGCATAGTGATGCAGTTGGTAGCATTGTTACCTCAAAGCAAGAAGGTTGCAGGTTTGAATCCCAGCTGCAGGCTTTCTATGTAGTTAGCATGTTCTCATCATGCATGGAAGGTTTTTCTGCAGGTGCTCTGGTTTCTTCCCAGATTTCAAAAGCAAGAATTTTATGTTTTATGCTAACTGTCCCAGTGAGAGAGAGAGTGTGACTGGTGTGTGACAGACTGGACCTGTCCAGGTCGTCCCCGGCATCTCAACCAGGGAAAGTGGGAGAAAGACCAGCTCATTGCCACCCTACTAAGGATAGCGCGGTTTAGAAGATGAGTGAATACATGAATACGAATTTTATTTGTTAGAAGCATGCTCGAGCAGTCTCTTGACAAATGTTAAGATATTAAAGCGGTTATAGTGAATCTACAGAACAAGCTAGGTTTTAAACGCAAACATGGTCACGGAACACTCACCCCTCCCCTTGGGTATCTTTCCTGAAACACTTCTGCCGGACACCCGCAATGCCGGACAAAACAAGATATTACTAAACAGCAGTCGCCTTTCTAAGCCCAAAAGGTTTTTGTTACCAAATGGTGTTTTTCTTTTTGGGACTCTGGTAGTTAAGTGGTAGCAGCCGGTTGTTTCTCCTCTTGTTATATTGAGCGGAGAACCTCTAACACCAGAGGTGTTCTGCTGCTAAATGCGTGAGCGCATAATGAATGGAGGACACAGGGAAGTGCAAAAGTGCAGGGGTCCAATAGTTGCTTTGGTTCTGAAAGGTGTTATTGGCGGAGATTTTTAGACAAATGTGAGATAACCACTTTATACATTTTTTTCTCTCCTTTTTTCAACCCAAAAAAATTAATTTAGAAAAAGAAGGAAACGAAGACCCAGGACATGCTGGAGGGATTATGTCTCTCGGCTGGCTAGGGAATGCCTTAGGATTCCCCCGGAGGAGCTGGCTCAAGTGGTTGGGGAAAGGGAAGTCCTCACTGCTTGTTCCGCTGCCCCCATGACCCCACCCCGGATAAGCGGCTGAAAATGGATGGATGGATATATTTATAACTATGCTACGTTAGAACTTTAGAGGCATGAAAACAGGTTTTGAGCCAATTTTATTTTTCCAAATTTGCCTTTTCAGCTTTAAAACCTCGTCAATCGTCTGTAAATCCTGACTTTGTCCAAATCAAAAGTTAATTAACAGCTTTGAAACATTCTATGAAAACGATTCTTTTGTGTGGTTTTACATTTTCAAATGTGCATAAACGAAATAAGAGCACTTCGTTACCTCAAACGACAAGTACTTTTTAAAATTCACTTCCTTATTTATTTGAAGGCTACAAACTGACATTAATTATGAGACATGTACAAAATTAGAGTTATTTGTATAAACATTGCTTTTAGAGTGTTTGAAGAGCGGCATTGCCCAAGTGACCATTTAAACAGCAATTAAAATTTTATGGAAGACTTTGAAGCATCAAAATAAACTTTGTGGCAGAGGCTTGGGGAAACACTGAACCTTCATTTCCTTTTGTGTGACATTTGGTTTGGTACTCTTGGCTTCTTGGCTGGCGCAGAAATGGCTTTCACAAACAAGAACATTTTACACACTTATTTATTCAAATAAACTCCAAACATGGAATGTACAATCCAGACACAAACCCTCGGATAGTAGAAAAGTTTCGTTTGGTCAAGCAGCACACCAAGTGACATCTAAGGTTGCATTTTTATCCTCATATACATTCAAAACTCATTTTCTCAGTGATGTTTTACAAAGTGAACAACAAAAACATACTTAGTGCTACAGAGAATCAGTGCACAGGACTAAATCAAGTTAAAAAGTGAACATAACTCAGTGTAGACTTCTGGAAGTGGAATAATAAAGTCTGCATCACACTGCAATTCTGGACATGTGGTTCAAATACAACTATATAATAATCTAAAAACATGAATTAACTTAAAATTTATAAAGCAATAATACGGTTGTCTTTGACCCTCCTAAACCGTTCTCAGAGGTCAGGGTTATTTATCTTTACAAAACGCTTCCATGTAGTTTAAAATTTCTCCTACTTTTTATCTCAGCTCTGGGAGACCAAGCAGGACCTGAGCTTGAGATAGTCGGTCCTTCTCAAAGGGAAAACAAAGACTCGAGGAAAGACTCTGTTATGGGTTTAATTACATGAATAAGTCACAATAATGATTTACTGGGAAACTTGTTGTGTCTATTTTAAATACAACACTTCTCCTTTAGATATTGCATATTATTCCTATTCCTTAGGATGAAAACAGAAGTATAAATAATGTGTTGCTGGTGAAACGTTGAAGATGAAATCCTCATCAAAAGGACACTTGCTGGAAAAACTCGAGACTAAACTTTGGCTTTAAGAGGAGTCTGATCCGAAGGCAGTGGTTTAGGGACTAGCTTGGACCCCTGTGCTCGTCTCGACTTACAGGACCGACTTGTGAAGTCCCAAGGCACTTTGTGCATACTTCATCCACACGCACCACAAAGCATGACAACTAACCCCTCGTGCTGATGAAGATTCCAGCCATATCTGGAGAACAGTCACATCAGACGGCGACCCATGGACACGTGGACACTTTTTGGTATATTTTGGGGCACCATCAGGAAATGCTCAGGCACTTGTGAAGGTGGCCTAAAAGGACCTCAGGCTGGCTGCTGGGGATTAATGTTCAAGTGTGGGGGAGGACCCAGAAGTCCGATTCGTTGTTTCTGCTTCCTCTGCTCAGTCATCTGCACAGGGAAAACAACAGAGGAGCACAAAGGTGACATTTGAATCAACAGCACTTCTGTAATGCAGCTCTATGACCTCACTGGAGAGATTAATGGTTGTTGAGTCTCTGTAAATATCCAACCAAGCTGTCAGAGGAAAATGTCATGGAAACACATCAATGGGCATCCTCCCAACTGGTTGGGATTAGGAGGTTGGAGGTGGTTGAGTCAATGAACTGATGATACGGGGAACAGGTTAAGACTAGTGTATTTAGTTAGGATTATACAGTGGGGCAAAAAGTATTTAGTCAGCCACCGATTGTGCAAGTTCTCCCACTTAAAATGATGACAGAGGTCAGTAATTTTCATCATAGGTACACTCCAACTGTGAGAGACAGAATGTGAAAAAAAATCCATGAATTCACATGGCAGGATTTTAGAATTTATTTGTAAATCAGGGTGGAAAATAAGTATTTGGTCAATAACAAAAATTCAACTCAATACTTTGTAACATAACCTTTGTTGGCAATAACAGAGGTCAAACGATTACTATAGGTCTTTACCAGGTTTGCACACACAGTAGCTGGTATTTTGGCCCATTCCTCCATGGAGATCTTCTCGAGAGCAGTGATGTTTTGGGGCTGTCGCCAAGCAACACGGACTTTCAACTCCCTCCACAGATGTTCTATGGGGTTGAGGTCTGGAGACTGGCTAGGCCACTCCAGGACTTTCAAATGCTTCTTACGGAGCCACTCCTTTGTTGCCCGGGCGGTGTGTTTGGGATCATTGTCGTGTTGGAAGACCCAGCCACGTTTCATCTTCAAAGCTCTCACTGATGGAAGGAGGTTTTGGCTCAGAATCTCACGATACATGGCCCCATTCATTCTATCCTTAACACGGATAAGTTGTCCTGCCCCCTTAGCAGAAAAACAGCCCCAAAGCATGATGTTCCCACCCCCATGCTTCACAGTAGGTATGGTGTTCTTGGGATACAACTCAGTATTCTTCTTCCTCCAAACACGACGAGTTGAGTTTATACCAAAAAGTTCAACTTTGGTTTCATCTGACCACATGACATTCTCCCAATCCTCTGCTGTATCATCCATGTGCTCTCTGGCAAACTTCAGACGGGCCTGGACATGTGCTGGCTTCAGCAGCGGAACACGTCTGGCACTGCAGGATTTGACTCCCTGCCGTTGTAGTGTGTTACTGATGGTGACCTTTGTTATTGTGGTCCCAGCTCTCTGCAGGTCATTCACAAGATCCCCCCGTGTGGTTCTGGGATTCTTGCTCACCGTTCTCATGATCATTTTGACCCCACGGGATGAGATCTTGCGTGGAGCCCCAGATCGAGGGAGATTATCAGTGGTCTTGTATGTCTTCCATTTTCTGATAATTGCTCCCACAGTTGATTTTTTCACACCAAGCTGCTTGCCTATTGTAGATTCACTCTTTCCAGTCTGGTGCAGGTCTACAATTCTTTTCCTGGTGTCCTTCGAAAGCTCTTTGGTCTTGGCCATAGTGGAGTTTGGAGCCTGACTGTTTGAGGCTGTGGACAGGTGTCTTTTATACAGATAATGAGTTCAAACAGGTGCCATTAATACAGGTAACAAGTGGAGGACAGAAAAGCTTCTTAAAGAAGACGTTACAGGTCTGTGAGAGCCAGAGATTTTCCTTGTTTGAAGTGACCAAATACTTATTTTCCACCCTGATTTACAAATAAATTCTTTAAATATCCTGCCATGTGAATTCATGGATTTTTTTTCACATCCTGTCTCTCACAGTTGAAGTGTACCTATGATGTAAATTACTGACCTCTGTCATCATTTTAAGTGGGAGAACTTGCACAATCGGTGGCTGACTAAATACTTTTTTGCCCCACTGTAACCTTTAATATGTAGGGCTATTTTGTGAAAAGGTGAGCGAGTAATCTCATCCCTGAGAGAGATCTAAGCAAGTTCATTTTTCATGTCTCTGTTTTATCGTGGTTTATAAAACTGTTTCTGTCCAACATGTGCAGGTCAACGATAAAACAAAAACGTGATGGTTCAGATGTTCCTATTTGAGTTTTGGTGGAATGGTTACAATCAGAATATCTCAGCTGCTCTACTCTCTGAACAACCTCAGTTTAGAGAAAGAAACATTAGTTCTGACTGGATTGACAAGCTAACAGCCAGATGCATCAGGGCCAAGAAACAAGTTGAAAAATGCCATCTTCTAACAACATTAATTCCATAATATTTCATATAAAACTCAACTTTGCTGTTAATAGTTAGATGGTTATTTTGGTAGAAATATTCTAGATTCCAGACAGAAGTGCCTTCGGGTGAACAGGAAGTTCCACAGCTGGTTATTCTAACTAGATAAATAACCACTCATTTAAATGCAGGTAAAATGCCTTTGAGGCATGTGAATGTTTGGGGTTAAAGAGCCATTATGGGATGGCAGCGGTCCACTTTGGTTTTGGTGCCACTCAGACTAGCCGCTAGCTTGTCCATCAGGTCTTTAAAAGCCTTCTACAAAAGATCTAAACTATTGCTTTAGGAAACATAAAGGGATGTCAGTGTGGTGTTCTGCAGGTAAATGTATGAGCCTGCAACGGCGTTATGAGTGATTCTGAGGTACCTGCTCCTTCAGCTCGGTCAGCTGTCCAGACAGGTTGACCACCAGTCTCATGGTTGACTCCAGCTTCTCCTGAAGGCTCCTGATTTCATTCTGTTCGCCCTCTGCGTCGCTGCTCACCAGCGACATGGCTCGCATTCTCGGAAACCAGTCCAGGTTGTGCTCCTGTGGTTAACCAGACAAATAGCTGTTGACGTATTTTGGCTAGGCATGAATAACACTCAGCTTATGGTAACCATTAGTAATCGAAAACAAAGGCCACTTCTATCATAATATCCTGCATTCATATTTGACCTGATGAGTGTTTACATGGTAAAGCTACAGCAAAGCTTCATGGTAAATAGGCCTGAGTCAGCTCTCATCATGATCTGATCTATTCTATGGTTAAAACCTATGCTGGTGTGTGTGTTTCAGTCACTTCCCTTCTGTCTGCACCAGTCAGTTTGTGTGATTAAATAGGCATGGCCAGCTTGTCTGTCAGTTAAGATAAAAAAAAAAGAAAGAGGAAGAGGTAAGTGCACTGGTGTGTGAGGGTGTGTGTGACGAGCTGGGACAAGTGAAGAAATGTGATTCAGAACCATAAACTGATGAAATGTTGCTTCACCACAACTGCCAGAAACGTGACACCAACAGAGAGGCCAGAAAACGTTGTGCTTTCATCCAGGAATACAAAAGAACGCCCCAGTCCCGCAGAATAGATTTGAATGTAATAAAAAAAAAAGAAAAATTAAAAAGTTATTACGTAATAAAGAACTTTCTTTAGTCAATGGAACAAAAACCATCTAAATCCATCCAGCTGGACGTCTGTTACCTCTGATTACACCAAACAAAACTGTCTTCTTACAGTAAACTTCACCCATTCCCACCTCAGCTGGTTGTATGTTTGAGGGCGTGGCCATGCTTTCTGCTAACCTTGATCATCTCAGCTACGTAGCTCTCAGGACCCGTGTATTCTGTAGAGTCTTTAACCTTCACCAGAACTATGAAGTACAGGTAGTGCCACATGTTATGCTCCTCTTTGATATGCTCTTCAAAGGTCACCGTCTTATTGTCGAATTTGTCCCGCTCCAGACCTGCAACACAGTAACAGAAATGTTTACGACAGAAAGCAAAAGAGGTAGCTTTTGATTCATGACTCAGTTTATTCATCAAAAGTACCCACATTTATGACTTAAATCAAGTCTACATGAGATGAATGTTTTGTGCGTAGGGATGTGTACTGGCATTTACCGACGATATGATACATATCACAGTAAAGGAGCGATGATATGGTATATTGCAATACGTAAAGACAAATGATAATTGTAATTTTTAAGACTGAATTTATTCAGAAAACTCAGGCCAGATGCTTCAAACACACACCCAGTGTTATTGTGAGATTTGTTATTCTGTTGGAATAAAAACCATTAAAACTGCTGCACCACACAAAAATGCAGTAATAATTGTGTGCATGTAAATTTTCTAAATAAATTCATACGCTGCTTTGAAATGTTGATTCAGTTTCATAACACAACATGTTGCGACATATCAGTGTAACGACATTTTCCTACATCCCTAATTGGAATCATTCTTTGACTTTTCTTTGCAGTTTACTAAAGTTCATTTATGTCAGATTGTTTCAAGCATCTTAGTGTAGGTTTTTGTCAGCATCCTCCATCCCAGACCGCCTCCATGATGCAGAGATCAGGACTCTGTGGGGGCCAGGTCATCTGTTTCAGGACTTTTAGTTCTTTTCATGGCTATGATGGTTATGAACAACCCCAGTCCTTGTCCTGTCATGTGATTGTTATTTAGGATTGAAGTGACGCGTCTCTGACAGTATTACATGTGCACTGCCTAAGACCTTTGGCACCGCAATGAACAATAAGTGTTGAGTAAATTTTATACGTTACTAGCCTGGCAATTAATAACCACTATTTCATTCATTAATTCATTCATTCATTCATTCATTCATTCATTCATTCATATGTGTATGCTTTACACCTTGTGTCCCTCTGTAGAGCTGCACATTTTCAGTCCAAAATAAAGCCATAAGTAGTCTCAACTCTTTCGCTGGCTCCAGTCATCACTTTTACCAGAGACCAGTTCTACGTTGTTAAACCAGTTTAAAGTACAAGTGTAAACACATTATCTGATTCCCTAAGACTTACAAAGTAATTCTCCTAAAATGGGAGTTGGGTTAAGACAGCATAATGCTTAGTAACACGTGGCTATAAAAGCTGGTTAGTAATGACTCGAGCACTGACAAGCTGCTCCACAACAATTACTGTTCCCGTTTATCCACAGAGGACGGCAGGAAGCCTGATGTGTCGAACACAAATAAATTCAGCAGCAGGTAAAAGTCGTCTACGTGCAGGATGACACCGATCAGTCTCTGGCTTTAGCTCTCAGGAGACTTAAGAACCAATAAAACACACCGAGAGACAGAATGGCTTATGGAGCGAGAGGACGTCAGGCCACTTAATTCGTGCGGCGATGACCTCCTAATCTCTGCATCTCCTGTTGTCTTGTGGTCCTTGTGGAAACCATAGAGACAGCAGCTCCCCCTGTGGCCTGGCCTTATTTAACAGGAGTGAGTCAGAGCTGTAGGCTGGCTGCTTGACATAATACTGCTCCCTTTCCATATGCTTACCCCCTGGTCCTGACTGCCTGTCTCAACATATGTGTGCTAACGCACATGCTTACAATGCTGCATGTACTACTGGGACACGCGCGCGCTGGACAGCATGTCCCGTTTTAGAGACACACACATTTTGTAGACATGCCATACGATGTCGGCTCACATTTCGGGTAAATCGGTGGAATTGCACAAAACATATGGTAGGAAAATTAAGTGTGTGCATGTGAGCGAGTGTGTGTGTGTGGGAGAAGATGTGTGTGCCTGTGAGACAGACATGAATCATGGAGGCGAGCAGAGCAGTGGCAGGAAGCTCTCATGACTCAGCCTTCGTTGGAACGACGAGCGAAAGACGAGGGGAGGAAGGGAGGGAGGGAGGAAAAGACGAGGGGGAACTTCAGTAAACTGCATACACCTTTACAGATGTGCTTACCAGGATGAACAACAACGAGGAGGAAGCATGAGGATTTCACCCGTAGAGACACAAGTGATGGAAACAAACCTATAGATCGTGATAGTGGCGAATGTAAGGGTTGCCAGGCAGACATGGTACACTTAGTGACTGGTGCTGGTTATATATTAATTGGATATTTTACAGGTAAATAGAATAGATTTTATTGAGAAATTCACTTGTTAGAGCAGCACCAACACTTAGGACCAGAATAACAAAGGTGCATGTATGTACATAGGCCTGGGACGACAACACATTTTGCTGGACGATAAATAGTCCAACTAATTAATGACGATAAACATCATTGTCGAAATTATCGAGACCAAAATAACCACTGTTAATATATCATAATAATGCAAGTGCACCCTTTAAAATGCAACAATTAAACTTTTATTTAACATTAGAAAGTCCAGAACTAGAACCTATAATAATACAATCATAAATAAATAAAACAAACAAAAACAAAAACATAAATAAAAAAGGACTCTCACGCTCTGTTAGAACATTTTGCACCAAAAACAATAAAATAGACCATGTCTCTCCAAAACAATAAACACAATGGCCTATCCAGTGTCAACAACCAAAACCGCACTTCATTAATGATAATGAATAATAATAGAGTTGTACATTTCTTAACCTTGATAAATTGAGACTGGAAAAGTTCATTTTCATCTATCGTACGATTAATTGATTTATTGGTTATTGTCCCAGCCTTATTTTTACACACAGGCAGTAAGCCATTATTGTAACCTTTAACCACTAAAATCCATGAATAAAAATGAACAACTTGGGTTCCAGCACTATGCAGCATACTGTAACAGACACAGACATACTATGTAAATCTGGTATTGCACACGTATTGAACACCTACTGAGTATTGCATTGGTGTTATTGTGTACCAGGATAATGCCAATACCAGTTAAACTGAGGAGTTATACACTCTTACAGCAGAGGAGACAAATGACCTACGGCAGCGTTCTATTTTACATCTGCATTGTCTCAGTCTGCCTCTGAATGAGCTGTCCATGGTCTCCACAGTGGGTGGAAGGGTTTTTTAAGACGAAGATCATCTCGCCCAGCGCCCTCCGTTCCCACATCTCCTCAACTGTTTCCAGTGGGCAGCCCAGAACCGAGCTAGCTTTGTTAACTAGCTTGTTCGGTCTCTACCTGTCTCAGTAAGAGCTGCCTGCACCCCAACAGACCACAGCAGAGTGGATAACAGATCCAACAACACAGTGATAAAAGGATTTTAGCAGCTGGGAATTAACTCTGTACTCCGAACTCAGAATTAACTCAGAAATAGAGTCATTTAAGGAAAAAAAACTCTAAATCCATGTTAAAGAGGTGTTCAGACATTACCTTGAGTTACACAACCCAAGTTTAGCTCAAAGTGACCAGTTTGGGTTTGTTGTTGGCTGAAAACCCCAAACCCTTCTGCTTTGGAAAAGGACCAGGTAGATGTTTTTGAGTGTGGTTTCCTAGAAATCTTATAATGCACTGCCTTAACTAATTACACATTGTTTTGGTTAAAAGATGAATTTTCCTGAACTAGGAACCTGAAGAACGGACTCCCTCACACACCAGATCATTGTCCTGTGTGATTGTCCTGCTTTATAGCAGAGCAACGTGACCAATAACAGCACCAAATCAAGTAACAGTGGCCCATTTAAAACTTTCCGACACATTTCTGATGCTGCGATGGTTAAAGAAACTCGTCAGCTTGTTTGTGAAGATGTGCGAAGCAATAAGAGAGAACCATAATAGAACCCCCAAGAGAAGCTTGTTTGTCCGTCTCACTTTTCAATGTGCTAAAAATGACTTTGCAATCCTCAGTGTTTAGCAGCTGGTCACGCACGTCCCAACAACAGGGCAAAAAAATCCTTCAATTGAATCAGACTTATCTGTTTATGAATGATCTAATAACACACAGAAATCACAAATAGCACTGTTTTAAATGGACATGTACAATTAGCAGACCTCCATGGAAGCTTTAAAATAGAAAAGACAGAAAACCCAGTTTATAGATTCAGCCAAACGACGATGTGAGTGAAAATGGTAGCATTTTACATAAAGGTGTAATATTTTAATAATCTGGGCTAAAGATAAATGATAAAAGGACCCGCACTTGTATAGCGCCTCTCAGAGTAAGGACTCCAAAGCACTTTACACTACAGTGTATTATTAATCCATTCACACACACATTCACACGCTGATGGTGATGAGCTACAGGGCAGCTGTAGCTACATCAGAGCACTGACAGAGGCGAGGCTACCGAGCACAGGCGCCACCGGTCCCTCTGACCACCACCAGCAGGCTTAAGGGTTAAGTGTCTTGCCCAAGCACACAACAGCAGAATTCTCAGTCTGGAGCCGGGATCGAACCTGCAACCTTCCGATTACTGGACAACCCAGCTCAACCTGTTGAGCTACTGCTGCCCCCGCTAATTCTACTGTGGCTAGGCTAGCATTGAGCATGAAGAGTTTATTGAGTCTACACACACAGCAAAAGTAGGAACATGAAGAGAGGAGTAGAGAAACGGTTTTGTGATGATGCAATTAAAAAAAAATCTTTTCAGCCTCACGTCTTCAGAAAAACAGAATTTGAGGAGTCTCTAAATAATGTTTTACACAAATTATTAGTGTTTTTATTTCTAGACTGCCAGAATGCACCATTTGGAGAGAATTATGTCATAACTCCACCTTTAACCTACAACCCAACAGATCAGATGAAACAATAAAACTCCTCCATGCTTTTTCTTGTTTTGTGGAAGTGTTACTACAGCTTTTTGATTTCTGCATTTTAGTTTAGATGATGAAGTCATAAAAAAACAGATAACGCCATTATGGAAACAGCATAAAGCCTACATTTTCTTCTTTGTGTTTTAAAATGTGGTGGTTAGAAACAAGCTAGTGAAGAGAGCCACGCTGTACTCCTGTTAGCACACTCACCACAGATGAAGCATGATGTTTTCAGAATTTCTTCTTTCTTTTGCTTCTCACTTCTCAGGTCAGCAAACGTGTCGATGATCACACCAAAAATAAGGTTGAGAACAATAATAATGACCATGAAGAAGAAGAGCAGGTCGTAAATCACCCTGGCTGCAAACAGCGGCTCCTAAACAAAGGAAATAAAAATGAAAATACACACATTTCAGATTAAGTGCATCTGTATGGACTGGGGAATATTGTTGTAATTAAGATGTAAAATACCAGGTTTCACACATGATGTCATGAGCTTAAAATGAGGTGAAACTTTCTGGATGTTAATGAAAACAAGGTCACAGGAGTATCCTGCCAGATGCTAAAGTAACAGAGACGACAGAGTAAACATGATGCAGCCCGGCCCAGTCAGGTCAGCAGGTCAGTTCAGTTTCTATCAAATAATCAACAAAAGGAGGTGTAGTGGTTTACTCGCGTTGAGGAAACTACAACGATGCATCCATCTCTATAATATGAACTGTTTTATTGTTGTGAGGCAGTAAAACTTAAGGCCAAGTGATGAAAAACCTAACGTTCACATCCTCTTTTGACATCATTTGCAGCTAAGGCTCAATTCAGTGGAACTCTATTTAAAGACGTGTTTTTCACACAAGCCAGAGGCAGTTTCAGCTGGAAGGAAGCGTTGCGAAAGCTTCGTGCCTCGGAAATCAAAACAAGTTCAGCACACGGTGAGCTCACATGCAGCTCACATGACCCGAGCTGCAGCTACCCATGCAACACCCTCTCAGGGCCTGACAAACACACACACACACACACACACACACGCGCACACACACACACACACACACACACTGGACTTGTACCTCCTTAGAGGGCTTGCGTAGGACGTCCCCTACACCCCCCCCACTCCTCAGACCATGACTCAGCACCGTAACAATACACATCAGGAGGGAGTCACACGTCCGCTCCATGTTGTCCTCCTCCTCTTCATCACCAGACTCTGAGAAAACACCAAGGACCAGAAGTTAAACACTCTTGATGTAAACGCTTCCTTCCGTGTTTGACTGGACTGGTAAAACTGGTCGACCGACGGGAGGATCTCGAGGGCTAACGGGTCTATAAATAAAACTGAGGCTCAAAGTATTACATCAATTCACAAGCCTTTTGACAAACATAGTCACGCGTCGAACTCAAACAAAGTAGGATCAATTTTCATCTCTTATGATCTGAAACAAGTTTGAACCTTTAGCTCGCATGAAATGATGTAACTACACGTTCATCTGACCGTTACACTGATTTTAACAGTACTAACGACAGTTTTAGCTTTTATTCATGCAAACAATGTAAGGTTATATAGGTTAAGAAATAATCCCAATTTTATTCACTAAAAACTAGTTTATGAACCTGAAACAGAGTTTTATGCTTCATTAAAACTTCACCAATAATGAGCTTAGTGTTACACTGAGATCACACACCACAGAAGTTCTCATGTTGTTCTTGTGATGTTCATGTGCAACGATACAGAATTTTTTTTTTTGACAAACAGTGAAATTATATAAATTTTCAATTGACAGGCGGATTGGTTTGGCATCTGCAGTGATGCGGACGCTGAGCCGATCTGTCGTGGTGAAGAGGGAGCTGAGCCAGAAAGCCAGGCTCTCGATTTACCGGTCGATCTACGTCCCAATCCTCACCTATGGTCATGAGCTTTGGGTAATGACCGAAAGAACGAGATCGCGAATACAAGCGGCCGAAATGAGTTTCCTCCGTAGGGTGGCCGGGCTCAGCCTTAGAGATAGGGTGAGGAGCTCGGACATTCGGGAGGGACTCGGAGTAGAACCGCTGCTCCTCTGCATCGAAAGGAGTCAGTTGAGGTGGTTTGGGCATCTGGTCAGGATGCCTCCTGGACGCCTCCCCGGGGAGGTGTTTCGGGCATGTCCTGCTGGCAGGAGGCCCCCGGGTCGACCCAGGACACGTTGGAGAGGTTACATCTCCAATCTGGTCCGGGAACGCCTTGGGGTCCTGCCAGAGGAGCTAGTGGAGAAAGCCGGGGAGAGGACGGTCCGGAGCTCCCTAGTTGGGATGCTGCCCCCGCGACCCGGACCCGGATAAGCGGAGGAAGACGACGACGGTGTTTTCAGCTTTAATTCTCTTTTTTCCACAACAAACATTCTTGACTTGGTTACATAACCTAATATCAGTTGTGTTTACATGCTTTGGTTCCCTGTGCGACGCCCGTTAGTCAAAGCAGAAATGTTTTGATTCAGCTGGAATGTGAGAGGAACGATGAAAGAAAATATGAAGAGTTTATAAGTCATATTAAAACACCAGCAAGACATAATTTAACAGGTCTGACATTTGAGTTTACATTTAGATGTCTTGGATCAGTGTTGGTGGACATAGAAACAACTCTGAGTGGAGAAAATGATCCTTTTTCTTTGTTAGTCTGCTTGGTGGGAACGTCGTCCAAAGACTAACTTCTTCTTAGACGTGACCATGAAGCAGAGCCACGTGTGAATTAAGGAGGTCACCGGTTAGTAACTCGGGTCAAACAGCTGCTATTTGACACTTGTCACATGCATACAAGTGTGTGTTGGTGGTTAAATCCAAAGCATAAGGAAGCAGAGCTCCTTTCATTTTCTTTCATCTGAAAGCTCTGTTCTATTGACGACCACCTTCCTCATATTCGGTTGAATCTGTTGTCATTTTACCTGTTGCTTCTGCTTCTGTGTGATTTATTAGACCAATTAGAAAACAAGAAACCTGAAGGAAAAACCCATCTCTTTATAGATCAACAGATTTCATGGTTACCTTCCTGCAGAACGCTGGTGCTGCAGTTGTTTTCGTGACACGCTCCTGAAGTCAGGAACTCTCCGGCCACGGTGGCTTCACTTTCTATGAAAGGAGACAAAACACACACAAACTTTTTGGGTTGTTCCCAAATGAAGGTCTGGTTCTGTTTGAGGGCTGCTGGGAAAACCCCAGGAATGGGACCGTTATCTTACTCTGTGTTGTGTTCGGTATACGGTCCACCTCTAGGATGAAGTCGTCTTTGAAGAAAATGTAGCCGACGATGGAGAACAGGTAAACCAAAATGAGAGCCAGGACGGCCGTCAGCAGGATGGAGCGTCCGTTACGGGTCACGCTCTTGATTACGTTGAGCAGCGTCTCCTCTCGGTACACCAGGTCGAATAGCTATCAGTTCACAATTTAAGGAAAAGGTCCAGAGTTTAATAACAACTATGAATAATGGTGTATAAACTTAAACTATTCTCTCACCAACAGACTGTAGAAAAACACGTGGCCAAACACCCCCAGACAGCAGATAATGAGGTAGATGAGATGATAGAGGAACTCAAAATCCATCACCATGGCTTTATATCCTCGTGTGAAGGTCCCCCGGTTTCCCACAAAACTTATCAGGAAGATTATTTTATTGCAAACCTGAAAGGTAAAAGCGACCTCTTAACAGTCATTAATGCAAACAATCAATGATCAGACTGGATAAAGATGTATTTTGAGTCGTTTTCTTTGGGCTTCCACATAGAAATGAGACTTATCAGCTAAATGAGGACACAGAGATGTGGCCACACACTTGTGCACAGCCTGTAACTTCATTTCTACCAAATGAGAAACCAGGTTTTCTGTGCAGGGTAAGGGATTAACAAAAACCCGGTGGACATGGCTCGAGCAGGCCCCTGCTGGAGAAACGTGACATGTTTCCTTCTTGGTTTATGTGGTGGATTATGTGAAAGCAGTGACATGACAGCAGTGAGGATGAATTAAACTGTTTTTATCCCAAACAGAAAAAGATCACAGTCTAAACAGCTGAAATGTAATTAAAATCTCACACTCCTGCCAAAAGAAGGGAGAAATGTGACCAGGTGCATATAACCTATATTGTAGAGTAACCAGGTTACTGCAGCATATGGTGTCCTCTTCTCTGGTTTCTCACTTTGACCTGATTTCTCTCTATAACCTGCTTTTGTCCCCACATGTAAACAAAGGGACTAAAGGGACCATGTACTTTTTGACTCCATGTGTGTTCAACTAGAAAATCTGAAGGGGCGGTGTCGCTCTCTCTGGGGTCCAGTGACGCACTTCACACCACATATTACAGCCAGGCAGTGCCAGTGAGAGAGCTGCAGCGGACAGAGGGCCAACAGCACAGGCAGGCGGGGCCGCGGCGCACCAAGTGGGCACAAGTATGTGAGGCGAAAGGGGAAGTGGAGCTGGTGGGGCGGAGGTTTCTCAGTACATGAAAGTGCATAAACTTATGCCTGTGATAGCATTTCTTCAGGGAAAATAACCACCAAACCACACAGAGCTGTTTTCTCACACACAGTTTGGAGAAGAAAGAATTTCCTGAACATTAACTCAAGCCATTTCTGTATTTTTACGTTTTTCTATTTAATCAAGTTTCATCAAAAATAAAACAAAAACAGGGAAGTATAATAAATGTAAAAACTTCTCAAAAGCTTCCTTATTAACACAGAAATCCATTGACCATATATGCTATCAGTCCATATCATGCTATTTCAAACATTTGAGAGCAAAGGTAGCCACAATTTATGATAAAATATTACTGTTGGCACTATTGAGATGTCATTTATCTTTAATTTGAGTTATTTTGGTCAGCCTGAATTTATAACCAGAAATAAAGCGGTTCATTTCAGTGAAACTCCACCCACACCCTCTCCAAAAACAAGTGGCTACAACAGCGTCTTGGGCTAATAAGTTGTGTATTGACTATGGTAGTCCAGTGGTTGGGCGTCTGCCTGCCATGCCAGATTAGCCATGTGCTGATGTGGGTTCAAATCCCCGTGGATTCAGCCAGCTGAAGCATTTATATTTTAGTTTTATTGATTATTTTCACCAATACAATTGTGTCTCTAAAGTTTTTAGAATTTGAGCTTTTTTTTATTTTATTTACTCTGCTCACCTCACATGGACTCACATTAGCTAAATAAATAAAGTAAAAAAATTAAAATAAAATAAAAACAGATTATTCCTTATATTTTAAAGAATTTACCAACAAAGAGTTGAAAACATAATACTGGCAAGGGTTACTAAAAAAGAAGAAAACAAGTTACTGCAGAGACCAGGATGTGAATCTATGCAAAACTTCACGCCAGCCCAGCACACTAACTCTTGAACAACCATGTCTGTTACAAAGCCATAGTCGCCTAAGCCACACATCCTGTGCTGGCCCGGGGAGACAGATTTCAGACCAGAAACTAGCTTCTGGGAGAAGAACAGGACGTGATGATGAGACTAGTTTCCATTGATGCTTTAAAGAATTTTCAAAGTAAACTCTAAATTTACAGCTGAAACAGGAAAATGCACAAACGCAGCCAAAAATGGGTTTGGGTTTATTTTTTAATGAGGAAATAACACTATCGTATGGTAAAACCTCCAAAAAGTGGATTTTCCATGATGTAGCCCCTTTAAAGTAAACAGATCCTGTTTTGTGAAATCACTCACATTGAAAAGACCCAGAAGGAGGAGTGTGGGCTCCAGGCCCACAGAGAAGATGAGGCGGAGAATCGAGACAATGACCAGGGCCTGGACGCCCAACGGCTGGGGCATGAGTACAACGATGACCAGCGTTGCAAAGACTCCCATCCACAACAGAACAGAAAGGTGGGGATCCAATTTTCCTGCAGAGAATAAATGTAAAAAACACAAAAAGGTGGAAATGTATGGACTGTATGAACACCTTGACGGCTGCAAGAGCGCCTTGACAACTGCTCTTGTGGTCTGTATCTGTTTTTGTTATACTTGTCTGTGTGTTAAACCTTGGTCAGGCTGTACGGAGGAGACAAGTCTCTATGCCTCAGGATGCTGGGGCATTGGCAAAAAAGAAAACCACCACCAGCACAATAAACTCATATAAACAGTTATTTTTTAAACATTTCTACAAAAGAATTGTGTTGATGACCAACCTTTCTTCAACGATCTTTGTATAAAACATCATTAAGTGTGTGACATAGTTCTGATGTGTGTACATGTGCACTCTAAACTTCCAATCTAATACCTCCCCAATCCTGAGGTAAATCCAGGATTAAGGTCTGACTCATAGGGCTCACTTAGCAACGAGTGGCTCGAGCTAAAACCTTTATCCAGGTTTGATCAACCTGAAAGCAAGGCCGCTCTTAACCCTCTAAGGCTCAAAATAAGTGTTGATAAAAGGACGAACAACCAAGTCCTTCAGGGACACTTCTGAGTGAAAAATGCTCATGAAATACGTATGTGGAGTAACCAGGTAGGTTTTAACTGTTGCAAATCTGCAACGCTGGCCTCCTGAGGGTTAATCTGCTGCTTTTGAAAAACGTTGCTCAGATGCATGAGTGCAACAATGTTGTCACTGTCGACCACTAAATGAAAAGGACCAGATGAAATAAAAATGAATCAGACGCTTAAAAATAGAACTGAGCCATGTGGGAGAGCTCTGCAGTTTAGGAAGCTTTTCTCTTCTTTCTCCCTCGTTTTCTGTCTCGAGTTTTCCCTACTTTTCTAGCCCAGTGGAGATCACATGACAGGTGCCACTTACATAACAGCCTCTAAAAATACCTCCGCTGAAAGATTCATGTGGAATGAGGAGAGCAGCTCCTGTGATGTTGGAGATTGAAAGAGCGATGCTTACGTTTGCTCAGGAACTATTTTGCGTACACCTCAGCTTGATAGTTTGCTGGTAACTACAAAGCAAAGCTGCAAACAGGCACAGTCTGAGCGTGAGCGTGTGATTGGAGCGTGCCATGTAAAATCAAAGAGACAAATCGGAAGGCAGGCAGTCACGCATGCATGGAGAACACACTGACCTAGATCTCCTGCTCTTATAACCTTCATTCTAAAGCCCCGAGCAAAGGAGGGAGGGGAGATCAAAGTGTGTGTGTGTGTGTGTGTGTGTGTGCACGAGGAAAAAAAAACGGTGCAGGTCAGAAGCCATTAGGAAGCCTGTTTCAGCAGGTCAAACATTAGCTCTGGTCTCACGTGATGCCGCAGAGACTGACGCAGCTCCAGACAAGAGCGGAGATAAAGGCAGACCTTTATCATGTTCGTTTCATTTTTAAGAAAGAGAGAAAACACCGTTAGTACTGATTTTATACTGCAATTCTTTTGTGATCAATCGTTACTTAGGTTTTTGAAAAAACACTAGAACATAGTTTGTGTAGATCAAACTGTTGCAAAGCTTTAAGTATACTGAGTCAGTATTTTGTGTGTATTTAGTTTATTTTGTGTCTTTCAGAAAACAGGCTATTCATAAATGTATACACCAAAGTACATTTGTAATGTATACATACATAATATATACATATTGTATTATATATTATTGTATTGCATTATAATGTTTCATATTGTTCTAAACTGTAATGTATAGGAAGTAGGGCTGGGGGTAAACGATTATTTTTAAAACGATTATTCTGACGATTATTTTATCGAATAGTCGACTATTCTAATGACTATTTAGACAATTAATCTAATGATTATTTTTCTATTGCACAGTTAATAAAAACTAAAAAATCTCTAATAAATTCCTCAAAAAAATTGATAAATTGTTACTGTAAGAGAATAAACACTACAGGCCTTCCATTTTGTATAACACTGCTTTTATTTTGTTGGTTGGTTATGTTCTGGTCACATGTAGAACTTGGGAGTGCAGGCTGCTGCCTGAGAGGTGGTTGGAGACGGAGTGTCTCCATGCTGCTTTGATTTGGTCACTTATGTGCGTGAGGCGAGTGGTGTTACGACCATTCCTGGGGAGTTCAGCTCGTGTGCAAAAAGGAAGGGACAATAACGGGATTTAAAAGTTAAAATGATGATCAGGTTTATTTACAACTACAAAAAACATAAATCTTTCCATCCACAGGTTGGGAATAATAAAACTAATTCTGCCTGAGGGGAATTAAAACAAAAGTACAAATAACTAGGGATGTCCCACTGGGCAAAGATTACTGGGTTCTAGACCAAAATAAGGATCTCCAAAGGTCCAAACTCTAAACTGGGTGGTTAAACCAAACTCAAGGTGATATTTTAAACCAAACCGAAAACCCACGACACTCTAAATGTAATAAAAGGGAGATCTGCACCACAAAAACGATGAACTCTAAACCAAAACGTAACAGCTTATCCAAACGCAAGAAGCTGTTAGCGAAAATGCTAACAGTAGCTTTACCAACGTTAAATTCAAGTTACCAAGTTTAAATAAACCAAAAATACCCAGCAAACAGACCAGCACGGATGAGAGACTGCTACCACCAAAACAGCTCTCCTAATGTCTGAAAGAAGCTCCTTTATGAAGGGAGAAACACTCCCAGTGATTTTCTACATCTGCGATAGAGACGAAGCAGCGCATCTGACCCCGGAAGTTGTTGTCCGTTGCCGGGAGATGAGGGCGGGCAAAACAGGAAAGGAATCTAGCAGCGGACGGACGTTGTTCCGGGTCTTCGGTATTTGGTGGAGATGTTAGTGAAGGTGGAGAAGAGGGCGAACTAGAGGAAAAACAGGCAGATTCCTCCTCTATTTAAAAACTCCTGGGGATGCAACAAGTGGGCGCGGTGCGTCGACTACCGGATCTGACGTCGACAAATTTTTAGAATCGAGCAGTCGACGTCATCGAGGCTTTGCTACAGTCCTAATAGGAAGTCTAAGTCACGCCTACTTTCGGACCATGGGCCCTCCCCCAAAAAAGAATTTGATTCTATCTGAGGACAAAAGTCATTTTCTAATCCCGTCTGATACGTGCCATGGATTTCACATATGATGTTCGTGAATTTTAAAGACGCATTTTGATGCCAAGAATGCACTTATTTTCAAACGACAGCAAACGTTATTTTAGGTTTGTGAGCAAAGACGCAACGGAATAGGGAGCCTAAGTCACGCCCATCTACTTCCGGACCACGGATCCCCGGAAGAACGAAAAAATGAATGCAAGTCAACGGGGCCAAAAACGCTATTTACTAATCTCGTTATGTGCCGTGGATTTCACATACGATGTCCGTGAATTTTAAAGACGCATTTTGATACAAAGAAAGCACTTATTTTTGAACGGTGGAAAACGCTATTTTAGATTTTTTGTGAAAATAAGTCTAGGCCTACAAACGCGCTTAACAAAAGTGACGTAATCGAACCAGACACGAAGAAAAACTGAGGGAAAATGGCTGTAAGTTCAGAAAACTTCAAATCTTTCCTTCAGGAGGAAAGAACCACCATAAATCTGGACATGTGGTAGGTAGCAGCTACACTAGGGGAGAGGAGATTCTGTGGTTACGTCATATACGCGACACGCCGATGTCTGATTTGTAGTCATGCCAATTACGAACTTTTACAAGCTGAAAAATCTCAAAGTATGTGACTGGCATGGTCGAAAATATACATCATTAGTTTTCATTTAAATTGAAGTACAACATATGTGCGATCCAGGGCGTAAGGCAAAGCAGATTAGAAAACATCGTTCTTAGACTTTTCTTGACTTGCATTCATTTTTTCGTTCTTCCAGGGACCCATGACCTGACTGGAAAGGGAGGAGACTTAGACCCCCTATACAAATGTTTGTCTCACTAAATATTGTAGTTTTTACACTGCTGAGTTCAGCGCTTTGGGCTGCCTTGATTGGCAGAAGGAAGGTGCTCTATAAAAAAATTAAATGAAATGAAATGGTAACTTGTATCATCCTGTACATGACCTGTATAAATTAAGTCAGTGCAGGTTTATTTTACAACAATCAAAGCAGCATCCTGTACTTTCTGTGGTGTCCATAGAGCTGGGGGCAAATATGAGCCGGAGCAAAGAAAACTGTGGGTGTGTCTAAAGCAGAGATAGTGGTCTCCTCAAGTCCTGCTCCTAATCCTGATCAGGCGATTAGAAGTCAGTGGAACAGAACACTGTGGCAAAAGGAGATCAGTAGGTCAGTGCAGACTAACGGAGCTGGCTTCTTAATGCCAGGTCTGCGTGGGTGGCAGCTCGCTAGTTCCTTACACCGCTAAGTGACGTAAATGTGTAAGAGCTTGTGTTTCAACTTGTTCCTTCTCAAATCCTAAACTTTATTGGTATTGTCATTTCACCAAAAAAAGCAAAGATGCGTTATAACCTTCTTGTTTCACCAACGGCACATCATTATCTTGAAAAATGGCAACAGCTTGTTATTCTTTTAGAAGAAAAAAATCTGCAGGCCCCCATCCTTCCTGTTTGGTTCCGCTCAGTGCATGACCTTTTTATGAACTTGGTTTCTGAGGAAATGTGATTGCAAAATAAGACATTCCCACTTCAGCAAGCATCAGAAACAAGGCAAATAAAAAAATTCTACTTTTGCCTCCTCAAAAACATGAATTAGTCATCCCCGTCTCAGGCCACAATGTGTGTAAAACTACATCCTAATTTAAATGCCCCACCAGAGCTAAATGTTCACATTGATGCAGGAAACAAGATGTGATCCTGATGCGAGGTTCATTTAAAATGTTCCCAGACTGAAGTCTTAAATAACGTGACTGACCTCCGTTCACCCCTTCCAGGGGGTAGAAGAAGCAGACCAGCAGATTCATGAGCAAAGCCAGTTTAAAGGAGACGTTGCTCCATACCGACATGTTTCTGGAGCACCAGTACAGCACAGGCTGGGCTGCAGGAAAGAGGGACAACAGACAATTATTCCATTAAATCAGGTTTTTATATTTTTTTATTTGTATGTTGTGTTTACTTCACACTGATGTACCCAAACAACAGGAGGCCAAAGAGTAGCTGTAAATATGAGCTGCAGCAACTTCTCTCTGACCTTTTATTCAAACATGCGGCCTTAGCTTTGCGAAGTGAGTTTTGTAGGAAGAGACACAGATGAAGGGACTTTTCTCTGTCCATCCCCTCCTCGGAGTGAGAGACTAAATACGGCTGTGTGTGGGTATGAAGTCTTCTACGTGGATTAAAGTGTCACTGGGAGTGGGTGTGGGTCTGCGTTTGTGTGCTGCAGCACGCAGGCTGTCACTGGTGATTCATAAGGTTACTGTACAAGTGTTTCAGGGCTTGAAGGATGTGGAAAGCCCCTGTCTGCTTTACACAGCGGAAACATGCGCTTACAACATGAGCGCATACGGGACGGCGTAACTATCCCTGCTGCTGCTGTGCTTATCCACAGCCATCCCTTTCATGCCCACTTCTCCTGCTCCGGCTTTTATCTCAGCATGCATTTGGTCTGAGATGCTGAAAACATGAGACAATTCGCCCGATCACACTCAAACGAGCAGCTCTTTGTGTTTCTCTTGTTAATGGACCGGTGGACAAGGAACGTGAATGTTTCACGCAGAAACAAACTTACACAGATGTCATTCATTTTGGACTTTTAATTCGTTATTTGAATGGTTCTTTTTCCGGGATGAACACACTTCTTAAATGATAATTTTCAAACTAGAACTGGTTTATTGTAGAATTTCTCACTTTCACACAGCGTCAAAATTATTCACACAAGCTCACATGTAAACATTCATTTACTAAATGGTGCTGAAGGTTCTAGAGAACTAAACAAGCCTATTAATCTCTCGTTAGCGATCGGTTTTTACTGTAGCTCACTCAGAGTTTCCCTTTGTTGCATAAAGAGGATTTGTTTAACCAAATGTATTGGTGTCATGATCAGGGGACGGTTGGACCCAAGTGCAGAAACCCAGACAGCACAGGGAGATGGTGTAATGAAAAAACTAAGTCTTAATTTCTGAGCGGTCAGGTAGTCCATGGCTGGGGGGGGGGGGCGGGGCACAGAGGTAAAACAAAACTCAAATAACTCTCAGGAGACAAACTCGAAACTGGAAACTCGGGAATACGGGAAGCAACAGACACGCAACAGGTGTGCCACTCACACAGACACACACGTGACAAGACAGGGTTTTATACACGGGGGCAGTGATCAAGAGTTCAGGAGCAGGTGTGTGGGGAGTGAGAGCTGATGGGAGACTGGTGAGGCTAATTAACTAAATGGGGAGGCAAAACAAAGTAGAGGAAACTAAATCATAAAACCTGTAAGACAAAAACTACCTAAACCTGTAGGACTACAGACACTGAAGAACTGAAGTTAAATAACCAATGACCTGAAGAGTTACAGAACTAAATATAAGACATAGAAAACTACAGATGAAACTGGGACTCTGGGTGAAGGAAATTATTGAGAGTTATAGAGACTGGAACCAAGGGAAGGGGGACTTCTAAAAAGACACAAGGAGTGAGACAAGAAGGGGAACACGGGCACACGTGACAAATGGATTCACTCATCTGTCACCCTCAGATAAAATAAAAGTTGTTAGATGAGCAGAAGCACCAGTGTCTCTGTCCTCTGTGAAATAGTAAACATCACCATGGACTCAGAGGGTGATGTGCAGGAAAGAAGCTCCTCACCTCCAAGCTGGAGCTTTAGCTGTCCACATGGACAAGAGAAACATCTTCTAGAGAAACCAGACAAACATGGAGCTATTCAACCACAATAACAACAAGGTGAGGCTTTAAATGTAGAAACACTGAACTAACCAACAAGCATGGTGGTGGCAGAATCATGCTGTGGTACTAGTAAGCCACACAAAGTGGAAAGAATAATGAAGAAGGAGTTAATTCTCCAACTTCACCTGAAGCCATGAAAGATGATTTCAGAACAATGACCCTAAACACAAGTCTGAACTGGTTTCTGATTGGATAAAGTAGACTAGCATTGAGCCTCTGGACTGGCCTTCACCCAGCCCGACTAGGCTACGATAGAAAACTGGTCGAGAAACCAACAGTTCCAAATGAACTCCACCAGTTCTGCCAAGAAGATGGATCAGATATCGAACCAGTACTGAGCTGGAAACCTGATGATGGCTACAAAAAAAGGTTTGCAGAGGTGCAACGTGATATAATAACAAGTCCATTAAAGTCTGCTGCATAACCAGTCTATCCCAGAAAATGAACGATGCAAATAAACTAAAAAAGAAAAAATATTATAATTAAAATTCCTAAATCAGAATGACAATCATGCTCATAATGACTGAGTATAAACTTTTGGTCTCAACTGCACAAACTAATCAGTATTAATCAACTCTTAAACAATCACATCCATTTAATCAGTTTGGTACCAGTCACACCTTTGATTTCTGCGAAATCTGAAACAAATAAGCAGAACCAGAAGAGTCTCCATCCCACCTCTGAGCTTCTTCTGCCAGTTCATCTCATTAAAGAGGTCCTCAGATCTCAAGAAGAAGTCATTGATCTTGCTTCCCTGCTCGTCTCTCTCTGTGGTGTAGTAGACCCGCAGCTGTGACTCTGAAGTAAGGAACTCACAAATGCTGGGAACAGGAAACACTATCTCCTCCATGGTGCGGTCCAAACGCACAATCTAAACAGAAAGAAGCACACGGGAGCTCAAGTTGCCACATGCCACCAATTCTGTGCAAACATAATGTGTAGGCTCTTGGTTTATTATCCTGTTGCCAGGTTTGTGTGTTTTGACCTCTATCTGAGCCGTGTGATTGGCATAGAACTCCAAGGCCTCGTCTCCCTCTCCGTTGGCCCCTCCTGGCCTCAGCATCACGGAGAGCTCTTTATTATGGCGTGCCAGCTGGATGAAGGACAGAAAGTCAACAAGTGCTTGTTCCTCACACGCACACACACACAAAATAGCTGATTTAAGTCATTTTCTATCCTGAGAGAAAAGTGCGGTTAAACTGAGGTTTTGTGAACAAAAAAAATCAAACCTGGTGAGCTAAAATGTAGATGTTGTGTCCAACATTTTGGGGTGAGGCAGGATCATGTTCCTTTTCGTCTCCGTTGTCCTCTTCATCCCTCGTGTCCTCAAACTCTACCTCACCCTGAAGATAGGCCTTCTTGATTACCTCCACCTGCAAACAAGCAATTTCAACAGTTTCAATGCATAAGTTGTTATTTTACAACACGGTCATGACCAAGCAGACCATGTGACTGTGAGAAATGTCATTAGAAGACAAAAACGGCAGTTCTGCACCAGCTCTTTGGGCTTCATGTTGTACAGGATCCTCTCGGCATTCTCACTGTCATGGCGGCTCTCCATGATGGCGAGCAGCAGCTTGGAGGCGTTGTTCTGAGAGGGCAAACGCAAAACACAACCATAAGAAGAGAGAGAGCAAAGTGAAATAAAAAATAAAATCTGAAAAAATGAACTGACACAGTAACACATAAGCCTCCCACTGTCCTAATGGGTGACCCCGCGAGGAAAGTTGACCATTGAGCAGGATTGATGGTTTATCCCTTGAGGTCCATGTGGCAGGGGTGAGGAGTGAGCATCACCTCACCCCTGCCACATGGACCTCAAGGGATAAACCATCAATCCTGCTCAATGGTCAACTTTCCTTGCGGGGTCACCCATTAGGACAGTGGGAGGGTTAAATACCAATAACAGCCACACCCAAAACTCACTTTCAGCTCTAGAACCAGATCCATCCGCTTCTTTCCAAGTGGATTGATGTCATTAAGTATCAAAGCTATGATGATATCAATGCCATTGGACTCATGAGTGGCTATACAATTCTGGAAGAAATAGGGAGGAATAATTATGGCTACATAGGTCAAACTGTGTGGTTTAAGTAGGAACTGAAAGCTATCTGTTGTGAGTGTGTGTGTTTTACCTGGTTTTCATGGCAGGGGCCTTGGCAATACTCTGTTAAACTCTCCAGAGTTTGGTTAACCAAGGCAACGTTCTTCTCGTTGATGTAGAGCCCCAGCAGGCCGAGACCTCCTGTGGTGCTACCACAGATGCAGTCTAAGAACTGCAGGGTCTCACACACTAGATTATAGTTGTTCTTTTTATTCTGACAACGCAGAAAGTTCTAGGAAATAAAAAAATGGATGATTAGATGACTGACCTACACAATAACGTCAACAGAATCAATGCATGCAGTAAATAAGTACACAACATAGCAGTTTGTGGATCAAAAAGCACAAAGCATTTTTATATGATTTGTTGATTTTTTTTACCAAAAAAAAAAAAACAACAGATCAAAAAACAACTACAGTAAATCCTCTAATATTAGCCTGTATTCAATTGGGTATCATATTTTGGCAGGTGTCGGAGTCAGCGGAGGTGAACAATGGCCTTTTTTTTGTGGCCGGGTGGAATGTGGTAACAAGCAAGTACCACGGGGGTGGGGGGGTCATCCGTCTCACTTTTGATTTGCCAGTGATAGACCGCTAGGGTAACTTTAACCGTGCGGAGACGAAGAGGAGGCGAAAATTTGATATCAAGTTCAAAGAGAACGTGCTGATTATGCTGCAGAACACTCTGGGGAGCAGTAGCAGGGGTTGTATGAACTAGTCACTAGTCGACTTCACCGCTCTATAGTGACTTTTTATGCCTGTCATCGACTAGTCGCTGTCACGTGATAATGACCGGCAAGACGCAGTCCACGGAAAAGACAGCAGCCTGCTGTCAGCAGGTGACAAGCTTCTGCGCGTCGGGAGGCAACGAGCTGTGCCAGAGCGTCGGTACCGACACCCGCCATAAAACGGACACTTAACCAAATTGTGACGTTTACCCTCTTGCAATTTAACCTTCCCCTCACCCCCATCCTAACCTTAACCAGCTTGCGCATGCAAAGCTCTGATTGTTGACGCGCTCCAGACATCTGCGTCCTGAGCACGGCCACAGTAACATTATCAAATCAGGTGTCGCCACCTCAAAAACTAATTTAACACGCGATCGTTCATGTCGGCTCATTTCCTTTTATGTTTTCTGTCTTTTATTTGTGCCTGATGCTTTTCGCTGCTGTGGAGCGGGGCACATCACCTTGTCCTCCGGTGACGCACCTCACCAGTGCGGCCGGTGCGCAGCGCGCACTCCGCTGTTTTTGCGGTCGGTCGATCTTTTAGAACTGCAGTTCGAAGGTAACTCATAAGGTGAATATATATGAACCCAGGTAGCAGTTTTTCTTTAGGATTGAGAGGAGATGCAGGAAGATAATAAACAGGCAGGACAGAAAAATAGTCAAATAAAAACAAGTTAGTTTTTGTACCTGTTGGTTGCAACAAACAGACACCATTGAAGGTAATCAGAAGTGAGGAACAGAAAATGAAATCATTATTTTAATGTTTAGAGCAGCAGGAATTCTGAGAGGCTGCAGGTGTGTCAGTGAGTTTGCAGCCGCTGCGCAGGGGGAGGGGGGAGAGGGCTGAAGCAGAAACTACCGTTGTTAAAAGAAATGTGTTTAACTTTGAAAATGTGGGTGCAATTTTAATTGTCAAAAACTCCAGCGAACCATTAGTTCATTTTGCTCAAATAGAAATTGAGGCCTGCCTCTAATTCTGGTCCTTCTTCCAATAAAGGCCTGGAGCTTGATGAGCTTGAGTCAAATACAGGCCCGGGCCTTTATTAGAGGATTTACGGTATTCTACATTTCCCAAACTTTCACATTCATCTACAGAAACCAGATAAAATGTAAGGTTATTATTCCAAAGAAGTGAGGCTTCTCAATTCTCTCTCTCTGTCACACACACACACACCTATTGAAAGAGGAAAGACAGTCACTATGTCCTATGGTTGAAAACTGCTACTGATCGATAACATGGCTGAGATAAGATTATAACCCAGGCTCTGTTCCTCAGTTGGTCCCACCTGTAAGTCACGGTTGTGATTCTCACAAAGTAGCTGGAGGAAGCGAAGAATTGGCTGCATGATAGAAATCACAAAACTCATCTGCTCATCATCCAAGCTCATGTCCTTGGTGCTCAGTTGGCCATCTGCTAAGGGAAAGTGGTCCTCTGGGTCAGCTTCACGCCGATAAGAGTTAAAGGCCTTCTTTGTGGCAGACGCGGCCTCTGACAGCTGCTCTTTTACATCCTCGGTCATGGTTATAATGGAGGTTCTTGCTACATAAAGATAGGAGAATAAACTTACACAAAGCACAAATATATCAGCACAAATTAATAAATCCTGTTTAAAATATGAAACGAGTAACTCAACATCAGCTCATGTGATTGACCTTTAGAGGCTAATCTGACCTTTCTTGTGAGTGGGGACTACTTTGTCCAAGGAGTCAACCTGTTTCTTCCTGTTTCCCAGGTCACTGGTGTTTACCGTCACTGTGGCTTTGATCTCCTGCTGGGCTGACTTCATACGGTCATAAAAGACCCGGAAGAACTTTTCTGAGTTCTTGTCATCAGTCAAACGGCTGTAGAATGAATGCTGGACATGAGGAAACAATGACAAAATATATCAGTTACTGAAAACCAACCATTAAACAGCATTGTCTAAAAGATATACAAGTACAAACTAGTGAGGAAGGAAAATCAGGAATACTAATCATTTCCTTTCTGAGATACCTCTGCTGATAAACTCATATAACCAGCTGTTTAGTTCTTAAACTTGTTTCAGCCTGAACTTCATGAACCACAATGGACGACTGTGTCCAACAGGCAATTTAAAGGTGAAATGAGTGGACCCCTTCCATTAGTTTACCAATGCAACATTTTAGAAATCAGGAAATTTATGTTCAGTTTATGAAACCCTTTTGTTTATTGTTCGGTCTGTAAATATATCAGTTAAAGGTGTGGAACACTGAAAAACGATTTTTTAAAATGATTATTTCTGATTACAACTGACCACTCTGAGTTTTACACACTTGTCACTGAACATTCATGGACTCATCCATCTTGACTGACGACGGGAAAGGCTGTTGTTGGTGAGCATCCAGGAAACAGCAGAGAACGTCTTGGCTGGTAGAACCTAACCATTAGCAATAGCAACTCCACCACACAGCAGAACTCCTCCAGGCTTGTGTTATTTGTGGAGACAAAACATCAACGTTGCAGAGCAAACGGAGTGAGTGGTACAGTCGTGTTGCTGTTATCAAATCCTGCTATGTTCTGATACTCTCTCCTCCAGCTGACTCCACCATGCTGACACAGGTGCTTCTGGGCTCAAGTACGACATATAGGGCACTCATTCCTACTAGAGACCACTGCAAATGTATTGATTAAACTAGTGTTTGACACCTTTAATATTTATAGAAATTAAATGTAGAGGTGTCTTAATAAGTAACAGGAGGACTGTCTGTTTACACTGTTTTAGGAAAGTTAGTAGTAGGAATGTTATAAAGCACAGAAGCATTCCTTCATTCATCTTTTCAACAGTTTTAACCAGGATGGGTCACAGTGAGCTGGTGAGACTCTAGCAGTCACCAAGTGAGGAAGGGGGGACACCATGGACAGTATCTCTCATCCACACAGCAGGACCCTAACCCTACTGCACACAAACCGAATTTACATGGCAACATTTCCCGGTGAGACGAAAAATCTCGTACATCAAACCCGATTTCCGAGTAAACAAACACGGCGAAGGAGGAGCATGCAGGTTTCTGACTGGCTAAATATTCAATAGGCAGCTTGCTTGTTTGTCCGTGAAAATTGGGCAAAGACAATCCAACAGGTCTGAAAGACCTGATTTATGATTGGAGCGGTCCCAATGTGTGTCCAAGTGGACAGAGAGCTCTCCACACACCACACATGGCAGGATAATCTGATGAGATTATTTTTAGAGCTGTTATGATAATAAGTGCATTATTTAGATTGCTGGAAGAGGAGGGTCTGCATAATTATCTTGCTGTATGAACCAGGCCCCACATCACCCCGCTTCTACTCCAGCTTCACTGGCTGCTGGTTAACTTCAGGGTTCATTTCAAGGTCCTGGTTCTGGTCTTTAGGGCCTTACATGGACAAGCACCATCACACATTGGCGATCTTCTTAGTCCCTACACCACCAACAGGTCCCTGAGGTCCAGTGATCAAAGCCTACTGGTTGTGCAGCACCAGGCTAAAGACCAGAGGTGACAGATCATTTGCTGCTGTGGCCCCCAGACTCTGGACCTCTCTCCCCCTGAGCCTGAGATCAGTGAACTCAGTGGTCTCCTTTAAAAAGCAGCTGAAAACTCACCTGTTCAGGCTTTTGCGTGACCTTCATCATCAACCTCTCCTTATTCTGCTCTTATTCCACCTTTCCCGGGATCCACTGATTTGCCTCTTTCCTATTCACTCTCTCTCTTTCCAATTCATTTTCTCTCTCCCTTTCCTTACATTTTTTAAAATTCACATTTGAATTTGTTCTCATTCTAAACATATTTTTAATCATTAAAAAATATATATTTTTTATACTTCAATTATTTTTTGTTTTTGTGAAGCGATTTTTATCTTGAGAGGCATTATATAAAAGATTGTTTTCTTTACATCCACAGTTTCATAATATGGGAGTAAAACAGAGCACCAGGAGAAACCCCATGCATGCATGGGCGGATCATGCAAACTCCACGCTGAAAGGCCAGGCGTTGAACCTGCAACTTTCTTTCGACAAGGCAACATCCCTACCAGCTGTGCCCAGATTCAGCCCAGCACAGCACCAGTCTATTCAGAACACTTTCTTAGATAATTAAAACTAAAAAATCAGTTCATATTCATCAAGAAGCTCCAGATTACGTCTAAGATGACATAAAAGATGAGAGGAGACTAAATTATCTTGATGCAAATAATGTAAATTCATTCATGACATGAGTTTTCATCTAATGGGGTAAAAAATGAAGAATTGATACGAGAAAACTAGTCTTATCAGGATGTTCGCAGCATATGTAACAGCGGCGAAGGAAGGCTCTGAGATATGAGAAGTTAACGCCACAGTTATGGCTGCAGAATGGGGTCAGGAAAAATTAGAGCACTTACAAACCTGCCAGGGACAATCTATACGCCGTGTCCCAACCCACAAGGCTGTTGTTTTGATTATGTAAGAGCTGTTACTGCTGCAGTATATGGAAAGGCTTTTACCAGCCAGAGCAGCCTTGTCACAGGAACAGGGTGAAAAAAAACATGACACGAGAGGGAGAAGCCAGGCCCACTTACACAGCTAGGGGGAAACGAGATGGCACGGAGTGAGAGGGGAAAAAAGCTGGAGGCAAAAGAAAGATCAAGGAAGGAATGAAAAAAGGAGGAGTGAGAAAAGATTGAGTGAGCGAAAAGGAGGGCAAGAGATAGGGAGGGAATGTTATCAGAGTATTTAGGCCAGTTCTCAGCGTTCGTTACATAATCCTCAGCTTTAACAGGTTACATATAAAACTTGGCAGCTAGAGACAAAAACATGTCCATAGGAATGTTACCTAGCTTTTACAACTCCATAGAGTTTCTGTTCACACAATAAAACAAACGAATCAAAATGAAAAACTTCAACAAACACTTTAGGTCATAAAATAGCTCCTTGTTTAAGAGCTGATACTGTTTTATCCAGAGAAGCAATGTAGTGACACAGAGCTGGTCCCTTCAAAATGGATTCAGAGGCTTTAGTGCCCCGCCCCAGACCTCCACCACTGAGCAACAGGCCTCCTGCACGTACGCACTCTGCCAAAACTCAGGGAGAAGGAGAAGTGTGTGTGTTCGGGGGGGGGGCTGCCAAGCAAGGCCATCGAGCAACAAATAACATAGTCACAGAGCAGAAAGCATGGCGACGGGATTAGCTGCACCGCTAACAGAATTTACAAGACATAGTATGCCTGTGGAGTGACGTGTGAAAGAGGTTTGAGGGGGTGTTCCATTTCTGATCATATAACTCTGTCTCCTATCAGCCTGGTGAGGCTCAATCTTGCAGGGAGGGGGGACAGAAGTGAAGTGCAGAGCCCCAAGGCACAAGACAGCACAAACGAATCAGAGCTGAGGAAACACAAAGGAGATGTCACCCTTAACCATTACATAACTGGCACACACACACACACACACACACACACACACACACGCACGCACGCACACACACACACAGCAAAGGCAAACACACACACATATGCTGACATGCCAATACGCCCGCTGACTTTTACACTCACAAAAAGGAAAGAAGAAAACTGGGTCACCTGTCTCCAGCATTGCCACAGGCCAATTTCTAGCTGAGTATGCAGCTGGACTGGTACCGAACCTTAGCAGCACCAGAACCAAGGCAGCCAGCAGCAGGGACATTTTATCGTAACATTTCCCCGTGATAGAGCCAAGCACCCATGATTCATCGAGGCAGGAGGCCAACGTTCACGTAAGAGGATTAGATATTTTTTAACAAGCAGTGAAATTTCCAGCGGCAGCCTGATGCGGTCGTTGTTCTTTAAAGCCGGTTTTTAAGAAATGATCTTTTTTTGTTTAGCACGCAGATCGAGTGCGTCAGTGAAATAAAGACTGTGCCATTTCAGAAAAACAAACAAACAAACAAACAAACAAAAAAAAAACCCCACCAGAACACCACAATACAGAAACCCCCCACAGCAACTTTCATTTTAAGATTTCCTCAGAAATGTTTTTGGCAATGAATCAGAAGTGAAAACCTAAACTTTCATGTCTAACCACACAGCTGCTGCTGTAGTTTCACTGCTGGTCCTAAAAGTTTTCATCTGTGCCGGTGTGTAGCGCCGCACAGCCCTCAGTGAAAAGACAAGGACAAGAGTGGAGACACGACATTAAGGATGGAGCGATAGTAACAGAGGAAGAATGGAGAAGATGGACAAACATCCAACCCCCCCCCCCGTGCTGGATAAACACAGTGCCTGTCTGTAACTATGGAGACAAAACCCTGAGAGGGATGAGCTGGAGAGGACCAGGGTGAGGTGGGGGCGGGCAACACAGAAAAACAAGGTCACAGCGCTTTCCCTTCTCTCCTTCCGTTCAGCCACTTGGCAACAACAAAGGGATGTTATGTAACCGCTATTTATACTTGTGCTCCCTCTTCCTCTCACCCTGCCCTTCTCACGTCAGGCAGCGCCACATGCAAGCCAAATGCATCGGCTCTCCCTCTCCCCAAGACGCTCTTCTTTCATCCCTTCCTTTTTCTCAACAACCCCATCTGTCCAAAGTCTTCACCTTGACTGAAGCTGATGCAGCTTTTCTTCTTCTCCTTTGCAACACTTGTCGAACAAACCTGCAAACCCAGACCTTTGGAAGGAAACAGCAAAGCGCCATGTGGTTTGACAGCAGAAGGCTGATGAGTGAAATGCCACAAGTCAGCTTGTCACAACTAAATCTACAGCTTTGTGGTAGCTGCTGCAGGACAGAAGACCATTTGGGATGTGCTGGAGAAGGCTTTGTGCAGCGGTCAGACTCTACCATCATTAATGCAAGATCTTGGTGTTAGTGCAACACTGGATGGAAATAAATGTTGCGACATTGCAGAAGCTTATAGAAACAATGTCACAGCGAATGCATGCTGTGATCAAAGCTAAAGGCGGAGCAGCAAAAAATTAGTGTGTGAGGTTTTCTTTGTTTGGTGGCGACTGTGTTTCTTGGCCAGGGGCTTCACAAGAATTTGCGTGAATTAAATTTTATATCAGCAACCCATTTTTATGAAAAACTGGGACCGAGCTTATTTTACTTTGTTGAATCATCTTTATTTGCAACTTAAATTTAACAAAAGCTTTCCTCTAACTGACTTAACTAACTTAAACAAGCTCAAGAGTCAACGTTTGTCTTTTTCATTTTTACATTTTCTGTTGATTCAAAGGATCTCGCAAGGTGACAGTTACTGTGGTTTTCCCTTTCCGTATTAGGCAAGTTTTCTCCCGGAGAAACGTTTTCTAGATTTCTGCACATGATGCTTAAAATGCACAACTTATTCAGTACTAATTGTCCCTTCGTAGTTGTGGAGGTTGCTCTTGTAAGCTTTAAAAACACCAAACAAATCACAGATCCCAAGACGAAGACTTTTTTTTACTAAACAAGATACACTTTCTCTTTACCTCAGTCCATCTTAAACAAAGTTTTAGATTCAAAGGAAACACGTTTTTAGTTTCCGTTTATAAGTGGACACACTTTTTGTTTCGTAGGGTTTCAACTAGAATTTGTAGCTGTAGTAAATAGTTGTGCACACCAGCGTCAGAATTCACTAAATAACGTGTCTATTGAGGGCATGAGTTAGGGCCTACAGTGATGGTAAATCTGGGTCTTAGTGTAGTCATTTCCATCTCTCAACTATACAGTTTCAGTTTTCAGCTTTGTTACTATATACATGTTATATTGTATAAACTATATACACATTTATGGATTTTCTGATATAATTTACTATAGACACAGATAGGGTCCATTTTGCTCATACTGAATCAGTGGTAACCCTCTCTCTTTGGGATTTACTCCTAGTTATGTTACTGACCAGTTACCATTTAGTCTAATTGGTTAAGGTATTAGTATTTTTAAATGTTTCCAATATCTTCCACTTATCCAGGGTCGGGTCGCTCCATCTGTCCCTCATTTGTGAAGAAGACCCAGAGATACCTAAACCCCTCCACGGACCTTGTCCCTGACCCGGAGAAGGCAATCTACCCCTTTCCGACTCAAGACCATGGTCTCTGGTTTGGAGGAGCTGACTCTCACCCTGGTGATGAGGAATTCAGCTGCAGACCACTCCCTTTTAAAGCGATACATTGCTAATTTTTTATATTTTCTCAAGTCAGTATGTGCTGATATGACCCATTACTGGGTTAATGAAAGGCCACCCAGCTCCGATCTCCCCCTGTGGCCAGAATATTCCACTTGCAACTTCAGACTGGCAGGCCGCTCTGTTGGGACAACAGAGCTGACATACCTGGTGCTGCAGTCTGCTTCCAGCATGTTTTAGATCATGAACAACTGAATTGTTTAATTTAGTGATGAACCGCTCCTGTAGACACTAAGGAAGGCGTTTCAGCTGTTAGATGAAGGTGTTAAAAAGACGAACACACAGCAAGAAGATGTTTTGGTTCTAAAAACTGACACTAGGAGGTGCTAAAGGCAAGCCTAGTTCCCCTTTAAACGTTTTACATGTTTTCTCCACTTTCTGGACCCATTCTTACATCTCAAAATACAGAGGTTGTTGGCATGAATGAAAATAGCAGAAAGCATATGTTTGAAAACTGAGTTCATAGCAGCTGAAACTCAGGTGGTACGAGGATCCTCTCACAATTACAGCTGCAGGGTTAAACCCCTAAATCCATAGTTCTCAGGTTAAAGCATCTTGAGGGAAAATCCTGAACTGAACATCTCTCACCTCATGTTTTTTGGACTAGTGCTGAATCAGTCAAACAAAAGTCAAGTATTGCAACATTTCCTTTGAGCAGACTATAACAACTTTATATGTAGGATCATCTTACAGCACAAAGAACAGACCGAGCATGCTGCTGAGTTCAATCGTGAAGTTATTTTTGTGCATCCTGAAGGCCAAGAGAACATAGTTAACTGTTATATGAGAAAGAGATATCTGACACCCAGCAGGTGTTCAGCTTGGCACGCCAAATGAAGATAGCAATAAATAAATAAATAAATAAATAAAAAACTCTGTGGTGAACTCTGGCATTTGATGCAGGCTTCCCATTCGCTGAGACTGTTGGCAATTCTAAGGAAAATATTCAGCTAAAAGAACGGGATAAATATTTGCATGGCGCAGTACAGTTCTAGCTCTGCTGGACAACTTTTCCTGCAGAGAAATCTCCTTTTTTGCAGAACAAACAAGAAGGAGAGGTTTAAAGGAGCTCCAGTTTTTCCTCAATCCCTCCAGTGTTTCCTCGACCCCTCCACGTCGCTCTCCCCACTGCCCCAGTTCCGGAGGCCCAGCATGACCCAGAAAAAGCGTAAGGGAGCGAGGCTGGAATGTTTTGAAGACTGAGACATTCCTCATTGTTCATTCACAGAGGCTTATGTAACACAGACTGATCATGTGATGCGGCTCTGCAGCAGTCGTGGGAAGCCAAAGCATTATCTCTGCCCCAGTGGCTTCCTTGCACTAATCTGATTATGCAAGCCCTTTGCTTACACAACAACATGCAGACAGACAGACCGAATGGACCGACCTACTGGGAGATTAAACTGATGAAGCAAAATATAGAAAGGGACTATAAAAACCTGCAAAGATGTATGGACTTCAGCGTGGCAGGAAATACCCATTTAAACTTTTTTACATTTTTATTACAAACAAGTAATATCATTAGCAGCTGACCTAGATTTTCAGATCTATGGTAAAGATGGAGATATGAGGAGAAGTTGGGTGATGTATAAGTGCAGCCACAATGGCACACTGACCCACATTTTAAACTTCCATTCATTATTCTCCTTTAATGTGCACTCCCCCTATTGATCTAAAGCAGATTGTCTACAGTAAAACAGTCAAGTGTTCATTTTTATTCTAAGAGATGACTGAACTTAAATATTCTGACATCCTTCTAGTTGTGAGTTTGCACAATGGAGATATTTGTGTATATCTAACCTGGATTGTGGTGTTTCCTCCTTCCAGCAATGCTATGGCCAACAGGATGCTTTCTTCAAACACACGGTCACTTGTGGTATTCATGATTAGGTCGATAACTAGATCAGAAGCTCCTTCTTTGTCTAGATGACACTGTACCTCTGCAAGTGTCATCTGACCTCGACTCAGGCAACCTGGACCCCCTAAACCTGCAGATGAGAGAAGGTGATGGGATAAATCAGAGCTGGGTGTTTCTGGTTTGTTAGAGAAAGTCTGGATATATTCCCTGAATATGAACTGTAGTTATGAACAAAACCTCGACTGAGGATTTTACTGTTATTGTTACTTGTGGAGTACCTCAAGGCTCAATGCTTGGTACAATATTATTCAGACTGTACAAGTTTCTACTTGTCAAAATCATTCATAAATACAACCATACTATGATAGTAAGAATCCCAATTGAACATTTGTTCTCTGATGATGATACAAATCCTCCACACTTACACAAATTACACAACTTTTATTATTGTGCCAATGTCAAATGGTGTGTTACAATTAAACAAACTTCTAAGTTCTCAGTCTCTTCAATGTAAAAATTTGAATTTGAGTTTTAGAAGACACATAACAATGTCTTTTTAAATCATTAGGACAATTATTCAAAGTTAAGGGTTTTTATCAAAACTAAACCATGAGAAGAAAATTTATATATTTATTAGTAGCAGGTCAGATTTCCTTAATGGCTTTTTAAAAGGCCTCCAAACATGTGCTGTGGGCAGACTACAGCTGATACCAGGTTTAAAGAAATATGAGTACAAACAATGACAAATAAGAGTAAATCACACCCACCATCTGCTGTTGAATTTGTGCCTTTTATGAATGTGTATATAAAATGTTCTAACACAAAGTTTATCTGTGTGTGATTCTTCTATGTAATTTCAAACACTGTATTAAAGATATTGGCCAGAGGCAAAATTCCTTTGAACGGCATGTGTAAAGAAAGATTAAAACCTCAGATGAAAAAGGTTTTAGAATTTTCACGGCTGGAAAATCTGATGTTTGAGACTAGCGCAGGAAAAACAGAAACTAGCTTCCGGTCTGAGCCCTGGGCAGCTGGTGACATTTCACATGGAGCTCTGCTGAAACAGCTATAGTAAACAACCCCCGACTCCGGTGTTTCTGCATTAGCATTATAGCAGAGAACAATGTGTCATCAATCAGATGTAGCTTCTGAAACCTCTGCTAGTCGGTCAGATTTGTTTTTTCTCTGGGATACGGCGACGAGAATGGATATTGGATTACCGGAGAAGTTCAACCGAACTCCGACCCCACTAGCTGGATATCACTACCGGAGGTGCAGACACGTTTTAGACCGTTTGACTCAGAAGACCTGCAACCCGATTTGAACACTGGAGAGGATTCTGTTCATCTTCAGAACCAAAATCGGTACAGTTTGTTTACTTTTATATTTTATTTTTCATTTCTGTGCTCCACCGGGAGCTCTACACTGGCGAGTTCTCAGCTGGTCTTAGCGCCATCATCTGCCTCAATATAATTCAGTAATCTACAGATAAATAAAATAATGTGCTGCCAGTTTTACCGCTGTGTGTATATGTATGTTGACAAAACTCCAGAAAATATTTAACCAATAATTTACTAGAATAAATCTTCCTGATGATGGAGTTAACTCGCTAGCTCGGCACGTTGTTTGCACTAATTCAGGATGGCACAGAGGTTCTCGGTCTCAGGAGGATCTATTGTTGAAATATGGTGATCATCTTTTAGATTATATCTGTGTGTGTGTGTCATATCTTTCCTAAATGACTTGTTTTTTCCTTACCGGAGCTAACACGGTTAGCAGTGTTGCTGCAGTCATGCTAACAGGACTCTGGAGTCCAGAAGTTGCGGTGCGGTTCCAGACGGATTTATAGATGTAGGTTAATATTTTAGATCAGACCCATGTTATTTAAAAATGCGTGTAGGACACAGACATATGGCCCAGACCTTTTGCTGCAGCTGTAAACGCAATTTTCCGTAATAATTAAGAGCACGAAAGTAAACAAAATACAGTTATTCACAATACTAGCATCAGCAGTGACCTTAATTTACGTGTTGGAATGACGTAGGCAGAACACAGTTTTTCACTGTCTGGAGGGGAGGACTTGGATTTTATGTAATCATTTATGACAAAAGTCCTTAACAAAATGAAAATCTGAACCCAGTTCATATTTATATTAGACGGTAAAGTGTAGTTATACTACATTTCTACAATTTTAATGCAGAGTCTGGCCAATACCTTTAAAAATACAAAATACTCAGCAACACTTATTCAAACTATTGCCTTGTTCACAAATGAGGAGATTAATGGAGTGGGAGATGGATAGGCAGATTGTGCTGCATCTACAGTGATGAGGACATTGTACTGGTCTGTTGTGGTGAAGAAAGAGCTGAGCCAAAAGCACAGCTCTTGATTTATCAATAGATCTATGTTTCAACCCTCATCTATGGTCACAAACTTTGGGTAGTGACCGAAACAGCAAACTTGTGGGTTCAAGCGGCTGAAATTAGGTTTCTCTGCAGGGTGTCTGGGCTCTCCCTTAGAGATAGGGTGAGAAGCTTGGTCATCTGGGAGGGGCTCGCTGTAGATCTGTTGCTCCTCCACATCGAGAGAAGCCAGTTTAGGTGGCTTGGGCATCTAGTTAGGATGCCTCCCAAGTGAGGTTTTGTGGGCATGTCCAACCAAGAGGAGGCCTTAAGGAAGACCCAGGACATAATGGGGGGACGACTGGCCAGGGAACACCATAGGATTCCCCCAGAGGAGCTGGCATAAGTTCTTGAGGAGAGGAATGTCTGGGCCTTTCTGCTTAGGTTGCTACCGCCGCAAACAGACACTGGGTAAATGGAGGGAAATGGCTGATTGCTTTCATAAAACATCTTATTTTTTTGAACTAGTCTCTTATAGAATGTTACAGTTGCAGTTGGCATCCCTTTGGGGCCCATCGTGACCCTTCAGATGAAGTTCCTATTATGGCTCTCGTTTCTACAACAAGTGCAAAGGCAGTTTTCACAGAAAACAGCAACATGTCACCTAGTAACAATGAGAGGTTTCTCACAGAGGGCGAGGTCTTTACTTCCTGTGGTCTGATCATGTACACGGGAAATATGGCAAACCAGCCTCCAGTGTTTGTCAGTCAAAAAGCTGCTTGTGACAGGGTGACTCATCTAAAATGAATGATATAAATGAATTTTTATAACACACTCACATTTTTGTGTTGCTCATGCTCTTACCAAAGCATACATAGAAGAAAATAATCAACCAGTACCATATATAGAATAAATACTAACAGAGGTGAATTTGCGGTGCTATTTTGACTGCACATTGTAACACAATGACCGCGTTATCAAGTAGAGATAAGACCATTGTGCTCGGCTTGCTCAAAGGGCAGCTCAAAACACAACTCTGGAGCTAAGGACCAGCTCAGGGACAAACATACACTCACACTCTTATTATATGTCTGCAAACTACAAGAAAAGTGTTCTCAACGAGTTTCTGCCGACTGATGTGATTATTCCTGGCAGTTAAAAATCCTTCCTGTTTGTCTGAAACCTTTGGTTAATGCTTCACGGTGAGACTGGTTAAAGTCGGTGGTTATGTTTATGGTGGTACAAACTCAACACCTGTCAGCGAAAAGAACGTCCAATGAACTTCTGCGTTTAATGTCGGAAACAAGCAACAACAGCCACAGGGCCTCACCTGATTGGTTCCTGCCCGATCCTACAGGACTGAGGGGGCTGTTGCCAAATGACGTCAGGCTCTCCCTCCGCCCACCACTCCGATGGAAGTTGCCATAGTAACGATTCAGCAGAATCTGCCTCAGCACCTCGCCCTTAAAGTTGGGAAAGGGGGGGGGGGGGGATGTAACAATGTGACGCCAGTGTCAGAAAGAGAGAGAAAGAGAGAGAGAAAGAGAGAGGAGATTGTGTAACATCAGACATTTCTACAGAGTTTTATTGCTTTAATCAGATTTAGAAAAATGTCTGAAAATTACAACTTGCCAATAAATCTTGAGTCAAATCCTGTAATTGATTTTCCTAGAGCAGTCATGCATCAACTTTTCAGAGTAAATATTTAAACCTGTCCAACATCCTACAAAAATGACACTTTGTGGCATTGCAAAAAAAAAGTTTCCGCCTTGTGCCGCCCACGCGAGTGATGTTTGTTACAACAGAGACCCTTTGTAGAGTAAAGTGAGGTCCTGGTCTTTGCTCAGGCAGATGTGGGGGGCAGCCTTCCTACACTGTGACTCATCCAGTCAGTGGCATGACTTTAACGTTGTTATGGCAACCTCAGCCCATAGCCACCTGACAGACCTCCCGGGGAGGGGTAAAGCGAAAGAAATAAATGAGAGCAGTGATTTTGTTTGTCTGCGATTACGTGCAAATTATTGTCAGATGTGGGCGGTCCTTGAATGATGGCAGAAAAATTACATGAAGTCCACTGCTGCAGTGCTCCTGGGGTCATGGTTACTTTATGTAGGTAGTGTAAAGTTCTCATCTTTGATTAGCAGCAGATGAATCACCAATGTAACAGTTATTCCATTTTCTTAGAGAATTATTTACTTCTGAAGGCCTCAGCCATGAATCCATGTCTTACTGTTTGATGCAACTAAACTGAATCAAACTTACAATGAGACAATAAAAACAGCAACAGGACGTTGGTACTTTAGATAATATTCTTTAAAGAATTAAGTCTGAATGATTAAAAATCTGAACAAATTCAACTTCAAAACATGTTCTGTTCAACATTGGCAAACATTCAGCATGAGTGATTATTGATCAGCTGAGATAGAACTCAAAAAGCTGAAATTTTATCAACATTTTTCCTGCTCTGTGAACTCACAATCACTAAGCACCAGTTGGTTATAATAAACCTGTCCAATTTGGACATTTTTACTCCAGTTACTCCAAGTCAATCTGGTTATTATTAAGTTTGTATTTAGTTGATTATAGCTCTTTGGTAAAAACTAGCATCGATTGGTCAGAGCTGAATCATCGCATCTCTATTAAAAATGACATAATGAATAAAAGATGCATAGCAAAATATTTATACATTATTTGTTACACAATATAAAGATGAAAACTATTCAGTGTTTGAGGTTCCTGCTCTTCCTGCACACCTAAAACTACAGAGAAAAAAATATTTTATTATTTTTTAGTAAAACAGTAGCTGCATAAGATTAGTTGAGAATGTTTTAATAGATTAAATAAACCGAAAAGAAAAAAAAAGATATATATATATATATTTTTAAATGCAGAATGCATTAATGCTGTTTATACAGAATGTAAACTCCAGGATGTGTCCAGCTGTTCCTAGCTGCCATGCTGGTGTAAGTACCTACCCTCTTCTGGTCCGTCACCAGCTTGTCAGGTGGGCTCTGTTCCAGCTTCTGGGTGCAGTGAGTAGTTACAGCATTGTGACACAAACAAGAGTGTTATTATTCATGCAGTACAGAGCAAGCAGTTGTCAAATTAACCAACACATTGTGTACCTATCAGCGGTTACAAGTGGCCATGCAAAGGTCTGCTCATTGCAAGAGGCCATGCTTTCACTGTGAGGTCAGAAACCAGGGAAACAACAGCTGAAAAGCAGTTAAAACAGAGATGCGTGCATATTGTTGTTTAAAAAATAAAATAGGATTTGGTTACTTTCTGGATTCTAGGAACTTTAATGTGGTTGGTTATAATTTCTGTACTTGGTTAGTTACTCAGGACCTAAGATTTAGTTGCTCTAAAGTAATTGGATGTTTACACAACTATTCATCATGTGGGCACTAGGCTGGGCTCACACTTGCCATCACTGAGCAAAGGATGGAGTACAGTACAACCTGGACACATCATCAGTTCATCACTGGGACAAGACAAAAAACTTGTTCTTGATCAAACCAGCCAGCTAAAGTCTATTTAGAATCATCAAATCACTGATCATTCGTGATTTTAGCCAAACTTCTTACTGAATACTAAAACAAGCACAACTCCAAACAAAAGTGCTGACCACAAATGTTCTCTTTTAGAGATACTTCATGTCACTTCATGTCACTAAACCACATGATCTGTTCTCCTTGCAGGTTCTATCTTGCTGGCATGTGGACTTAATTGTTTTAAGGAATTCCCCTAATGCTAGCAAAACAGCTATTTAATTTCTCCCAGATTATGGCCGTCACGTTCTCTTCTTTTATGTCACAGTTATTAAGAATTACATAGCCAAGATCCAGATGGGGAGTTGTAATGTGGTTGTATTCAGATGTTAGGTTTCTGACTGAATTGTTTTCAGCACTGACATAAAAATCCAAAACAAAATCTAAGACATGGCTAATTGACCAAGATAATCATCTGGGTGCATTTCAAGGTGTGTAACCATAACAACCGCATCCATGCCACTTTGATAAAGGTGCAAACATATAGGTCACAGTCAGGAGATGTGAGAATTAATAACCTACAATGATTTAAGTGGACTGAAGACTGTCCTTAAAGGAAAAACTGGTTTAACCATACATTTTAAATATTTATTTTAATGTTTAAAGGTGTGGAACACTGAAAATCTGTTTTTTCATTGTTATTTGTGTTTATAATCGGTCAATCTTTTCATGAAAATAGTCTCCTGCATTAGATTCTGATAGAAAATAGACAGTGAAGCTCTAGAATGAGAAAATCCTGACAGATCTATGTCACACTATCGCCTAAAGGTTGGTTTATGCTTGACGCGTCCGCAAGGTCCGCATGGCTTCGCGCGGAAAAGTTGCGTCATTTTGCGTCATTTTAACAACCACGCCCCTCCACCGCGTCTCCGCACGGTTCAAGATTTCCGCAACGCGCACCTCGGAAATTTTCTAACCACGCGGACGGACGGACGCGGAAAAACATGGCGGACCGGCAAGAACTAGTATGGCAGAGGTTCATAAATACAGACATTTGTATGATTCAGCTCTCAGAGATCACCGTGATCAACATGTTGTTAATCATTCTTGGAGAGAAATAGCTCGCACTGTCGGAAAAGACGAGAACTCTGTTAAAAATGCTGGAATGCCATGTTGTAAACAGTAATTTCTACTTCTACTATGGTGTAGTGTTGGATGCATGCTGTAGAGCTCCATGCTGCCCCGTTCAGTTTAGGAGAATATTGGCTCACCGCAGAGACGAGCCGCATGAACCATAAACGCTGCGAGTTGCGAAGCGCGTTCCATCCGCGAGCCGCACCACCACGCGGAAAGTGAATGCGTCAAGCATAAACCAAGCTCAACATTCATGGACTCACCCATCTTGACTCACAACGGGAAAGGCTGTTAATGGTTTAGTGTCCAGCAAATGGCAGAGAATGTCCTGGCTAGTAGAAGCTAACTATTAGCAATAGCAACTTCACCATGCAGCAGAAGCTCCTCCAATCTTGTGTTATTTGTGGAGATAAAACAAACGTTGCAAGTCTATGGTAGAGTCGCATTACTGCTATCCAATCTGTGACAATATCAGGAAATAAAGTTGAATTTTATAACTAATCAGCTGGTCATAACAAAAGGTTAGTTGTTCTACTTCAATATTTTACAGACTTTAATTTAAGCTATGAGCATATTTCCGGCGGATTGTTGAACCTCGGATTCAGGAGGAACAATGTGAGTTTCGTCCAGGCCGTGGAACACTGGACCAGCTCTATACCCTTAGAAGGGTCCTAGAGGATGCGTGGGAGTTCGCCCAACTAATCTACATGTGTTTTGTGGATTTGGAAAAGGCATTCAACCGCGTCCTTCAAGAGGCCCTGTGGGGGGTACTCCAGGAGTATGGGGTACCAGGACCTCTGATACGGGCTGTTAGGTCCCCGTATGACTGGTGTCGGAGCTTGGTCCGCATTGCTGGCAGTAAGTCGGGCTCGTGTTCAATGAGAGTTGGACTCCGCCAAAGCTGCCTTTGTCGCAGATTTTGTTCATAACTTTTATGGACATGATTTCTAGACACAGCCGAGGTGTTGACGGGATCTGTATTGTTGGCCTGAGGATCGGGCATCTGCTTTTTGCAGATGATATGGTCCTGTTGGCTTCATCACAACGTGATCTCCGGCTTTTGCTGGAGTGGTTTGCAGCTGGGATGAGAATCAGCTCCTCTAAATCTGAGACCATGGTCCAGAGTCGGAAAAGGGTAGAATGCCTTCTCCAGGTCAAGGATGAAGTCCTGCCCCAAGTAGAGGAGTTTAAGTATCTCAGGGTTTTGTTCACGATTGAGGGAAAGATGGAGCACAAGATCAACAGGCTGATTAGTGATGCGTCTGCAGTGATGCAAGTGTTGTACCGATCTGTCATGGTGAAGAGAGAGCTGAGCCAGAAGGCAAAGTTCTCGATTTACAGGTCGATCTACGATCCTACCCTCACCTATGGTCACGAGCTTTGGGTAGTGACCGAAAGAACAAGATTGAGGCAGAAATTAGTTTTCACCGTAGGGTGTCTGGGCTCTCCCTTAGAGACAGGGTGAGAAACTTGGTCATCCAGGAGGGACTCGGGGTAGACCCACTGCTCCTCCACATCGAGACAAACCAGTTGAGGTGGCTCGGGCATCTGATTAGGATTCCTCCTGAACACCTCCCTGGTGAGGTTTCCCAGGCACGTCCAACTGGGAGGAGACCTGAAGGGAGACCCAGGACACATTGGAGGGACTATGTCTCTCACCTGGCCTGGGAATGCCTTGGGATTCCCCCAGAGCAGCTGGCCCAAATGGCTGGGGAGAGGGAAGCCTGGGCTTCTCGACTTAGGCTGCTGCCCTCGTGACCTGACTACAGATAAGCGGAAGAGAATGGATTGATGGATGGATGGCATATTTTTTTATCTCTGATGGTGAACCTTTTGCCTGTAAACTTCTTACTGATATTAAGTCTCTAAAAAGAAAGGAAAATGAATCACCCAATTAAACACATCAGTTTAATAATTTTGCAATTGAAAAACACAGTGGAAACTGTCAATGAAAGTCAGCAGAGGCTAATTAAAGGGTGCGAAGTTCTCAGTCTGTGCAGCATGAAACACAAAAACTCAAAAAATCAAGTATCACACTTCTCAAATGTACAGCTGTTTTCCCACTTTCTCCCAGGTTCACCTGAACAATAGTAACTCTGATTAGATACAACATCAGTTCCTGAAGGCTCAGTTTGGGTTTAATCAGAGGAAATGAAACTGGTATTGTAGAGAAGAGTGCTGCTCCGAATACACGGTTATGTAAAAGGACACATTAGGAGGGGTTGGAGAGAGGAGAGGGAAGGTGATAGGGTCACAATTACATAATCACTCCAAAAGTAACCAGGCCACTAAACCAATGACGCCGAGCTGCTTACAGAGGCCATCTGTCACACAAAACAACAGCTGAGAGTAATTCATGTGTTTCCAACACCAGCGGCCAAGAGAATTTATACCACTCTGAATAAAAGAAAACCACCATAAAAAGCAGCTAAAAGTAGTGACGCCTTCGTTGAGTGAGAGATGTGCTATGTTGCTAAACCTCTCTGGTGGGAGGTAAAACCTACTTTGGTAAAAATAATTTAGAAAATCATTTCCAACTTGATGACAATAATCAAAAGTATGAATTCACAAGTTGGTGAAAGACCTTCCAGGTGTTCAGAGTCAGATCACTGTGCTGCATTCGGGGGTTGGCTTACCTTCCACTGGCAGTGGCCGTTGTCAGATTTGGCTGAGTTTTGGGTGTGTTTATTTGAGCACATTCAAATGGAAAAAATGGTATATTTATCTATATTTGGTGACGGACATTTGACTAAAATTCAAGCCTGAATCATCGTCAGTATCCAGATTTACCCAGTCGCCTTTTGGCCTGAGGAATTTGATATAAAGATGGAACCAAACAGAATGAATAGTCCTTTTGTGGTTTTATTAAAGATATTCATTTTTTATACAATCATATCAAAATGTTCTCTTTTAATAATCACTAATTTGTAAACAATCCAAAGCTCTATTATTCAAACAAGAAATTCAAAAAGGTACCAGTAATAAAAGCTGCAAATTCTCATAAAAATTCTAATTATAAGCAAACAAAAACTGAATTACTTTTAGAATCCGACACCAACTCAAAGCAAACCAGATCATTTAATGGAGAGTTTCACAGCGGACTAGTCAGCAGACATATTTAGACATATTTGACTCACAAAAGCAGCTTTCTAAACAACCAACCAACACTCACATAAACTCATCTTTAACACAGTCAAGAATTTCCCTCAAACTCTTAAAGTAAACAATAAAACAAACAAATCCTTTTCAGTTTAGTTTCAATGAAACTGATCAATTTTAGACGCGAGACCTTTCACATCCAGTTACGCTCACTTAAAAACAGTTACTAAGGCCGTGTGTGGGTGGGGGTGCTGAAGCAGAGCCAGACAGAGTGCGAAAGAGAAAGTTAGACGACGTAA